TATTATTTAAATTTTTTAATATTAATTTATAAATTATTAAATACTATTAGAATTAAGACATATAAATTTTTATGAAAATCATTTAATGCAATTATAGCTAGCATTTACAAAGTGGATAAATCTTATTAATATTAATACTGTAATATTTGGAATAATAATTAGAAATATAAAGAAAAAATATAACCATTTTCGTCAATAAAAAAGTTTTTCAACCTTTGTTACTTGTATTTACTTTAAATAAAGATATAGATTAAAAGAAGAATAAAAAATAAAACAAAACTTTATAATGATTTAAAATTTTGAAAAAGGGGAAAAAGTGCAACAACTAAATATACAGGATTTTAGATTGGAATAAAAGTAGGCAAAAGTTAACTTAAGGATATGAACTCCACCCCTACTTTAAAAAAATAGTAAATTATTGTTATGACCTTATTAATACATATTTTTTATTTTAATAATTAGTTTTTTCTGAATTTTTTTACTAAATTAATATCACTTAACTCAGGACGCCAAACTCAATTACGGACTTTATTAAAACCCAAATAGACTTTTAATGTGTCTTTTAAATGTTTTATTATCAATAATATTATAACTATGTGCTCGATTTTTTATTTTGTGAAATAATGTCAACTATATCTTTTTCCCTTTTATATCTATATTCCTTTTATATATACACTTTCTCCTTAGTTGTTTCCTACAGAATGAATGTCATGTAAGAAAATATCTACAAATCTTAAAACATCTATTAAGATTAAGAAAATAAAGATTTAAAAAATTAATTAAAAATGTTCTTATTACATGGGTCTAACATTTTTCCACTATACTCATGATCTAAAGTGTGTTCAAAGAATATGGACCAAGCAAGCACAAAGTTTGCTTGAATTCAATGTTAATTAGAAGATAAGGTTCAAAACGAAAGGGGAGAATATTTTTTAGTGCAAATTGCTAAATTAGTAGACTGATTCTTGAACGTTTAAATGAGCAAAGCATATATAGTCTAAGGTTTGTATGCTTTTTTTTTTTTTTTTTATAATTAAGGGTTGCTTCTATGCCTTAAGCAGATGAGAGATCGAAGACCTTTTCATCAGTACGAAACCAAAGATAACAAATTGCTTTGCAGTTTTCTAGGTCAATGAATTTTATTTTAAGGCCAATTAGGCATCTTTGGTTGCATGTTCTAAATTACAAGATTATATTAATCAGAAGATTAGACCTTGGAAAGATTATTACTTCTAACTCATATAAAATATGTGAAGTATCCAATTGGTAATAGGCCAAGAAATTCAATTTCACATGTAAACTCTATACTAACAATAAAAAAAGAAAAACTTTTCATATAAACAAACTCGTGAGAGACGATAAAAACACAATAAAACCAAACTCTAATATTTTATAAAAAATTTAATTAATAATAAATGAAAAGACTCTATACTCAACTTGGATATAAAGCTACGTCAAAACCTTAATTGATATCAGATAACATCACTCTACCACACTAATTTTTGTGATATTAAAAAAACTAACTAGGGTCATCATAGGTCGGTGAATGACAATTTTCTAATTACAAAAAGCTAGAGAAGGTTTGGGGTTGAGATTTAACAAACCCAAGATTGCTTATCTAAGCCAATGATAAGGGTATGGTCAATAAAAAAAATGAAAATTAATGGCATTCATCATACTCTTCAGACAGACGTAAGCTAGAGAACAATTAATGTCTAGCAGACACCTGTTCAAATTCTTACAAAAGGCAATTAAATACTAGAAAAAAATTTGGTAAGAATTGTTCACCGAAATGAATAATTAGGAGTCGTAACGGTACAGTTGCTTAACAAGGGAAATTAGTCAAAAGACGAATTAGTCTTAAAGTCAATGACTTATAGTTCTTACTGTTCTCAAAAGTAATACTCCTTTGAGACGGAACTCATCCAGGGTTAGGTTTCTACCATCTTAGGAATGCTTAGGACTGAGTAAGCAATCCAAAGTTTGCAATTTGCTTTTCAGTTTTAGAGAATTAAGTCTTGAATTGATGTATTAATTAGTTCATCTTTCTTAAGCTTTTGGTGAATCAATTACATCTTAATGTAGTCATTAAGATTTATAATTTCAAATATCATAAATATATATATATATATATATTTTTAGTTTTAATCGATAAGAGAGTGCTATAATCTTCTTTTTTTAATTTACTTGTAATATTCATGATTTTTGTGTAATATTTCATTTTCAGTTGCAAATTTTTAAATTTAATTTTTACATGATTGGTATTTTAAAAATTTTTCAAATTTATCATCTTCGTCCATCATTATTAAAATTCAATTAAATTTATCACTTCAATGCTTTTTGGATATTCGCATGGCCAAATAGTTAGACCCCAACACTTGAATACAGTTTACGTGATTAAAAAAAAGTGAATGCATTTAACCATTTCTATAGAGATTTATGTCATATGGATATTCAAGTGATATTGAAATGATATTTTTTTTTAATTTTTAACAATAATTGATGAAAAAGAAATGAATTTAAAATATTTGTAAAAGACTGAATCTAAAAATTTACCGACGAAAGTGAAATATTACACAAATATAATAATTGATTAATGCATAATTTTACTCCAAAATCATGAACAAGTCATTGATACAGATGCATTTGACCTTAACAACATGAACCCTGATCATTAAGTATAAATAACTGCGACTATATCCCATGTGAAACCTTCCACATTCGTCATCATCAGATATCAATATTTTGTTGCTAAGTCCCTTTCATCACTAACTTGTAAGAAAAATCCAGGTCCATTTCCAAAAGTCTCAGCTCATCTAGAAAAAGGATGAGCACCACCAATTCCACAAAGCCAACTATGACAATATATTTTTTCCTTGGCTTAGGTGGAAGGGAACCTGCATGGCAACAGTTTGTGTTTGACTAGCTCTCTGGTTTTAGCACGGCAACTCCATATAATTATTTCTATGGCTTTCTTTTCCCAGTTTCGCAGAAGGATTTAATCTTCACATTTTTCTTTTCTAGCATAAAAATTTAGTAGTTGCTATTTGCTATTGGTTAGACATTCTAACAAGAAAAGGACTGAAAGCATATTTTGGTTTTTATATAATTGGAAATTAAGATGCTTAGACCAAGTATTAATTACTATGTTCATGCCTAACAGTACTTAATTTATTATAACAAGTCTGTGTGCTTTGTTTCTTCTATGTATAAAGAGTTTCACATTTTCACTTCTGGCCTGTGGAGAGACTGAAAGGCAAAATAGAAGTTTGTAAGAGCTAGAGAAAGAAAATGGATGTAATAAGGAGAGGGTTGGTCTGGTTTCTGGTTTTCATGATTCTGCAGAGAGGAGAGGCGCAATTATCTGAAAATTTCTACAGTAATAGTTGTCCGAATTTGGAAACCATAGTGAAACAGGAAGTGTCAACCAAGTTCAGCCAGACCATCGTTACAATCCCTGCAACTCTGCGCTTGTTTTTCCATGACTGCTTTGTTGAGGTAGGGACTAGGGAGAGTAGTATGATCCATCCTTTTTTATTTCCATTGTTTCTTTTTATCAAATGTGTGCTGCCATTGTTGTTTGGTACTCTTATCATAGTTTCATCCCTGGATGCTTTTCATGTCAGTGTCTTTCTTCCACTTGTGTTTTTCTCTATTCGAGTACAAGTTAGAATTGGTTTTTCCCTTACCCTGTAATTTCTTACAAATGGTTAGAGAGAGAAATGGTTGGTCTTTTCTTCCCTCTTTCTCTTTCTCTGGTTTTTTTCAGTCATGGTCACAATTGGAGGCTGTAAATTCAAGCTCACCAGGACATAGTGAAAGCACATGCTAGGAGAGGTCTATCAACGCATGAAATCACCTGTTTTTGTTGTAAAATGACAGCATTGAACGTGTCAATCTTCGCAACTGACAGGCTTGACATAAGAAACCACACATTTAAAGAATGTCTTGGATCTACAGAAAAAAAAAAAACCCAATTTTGCTTTCCTCAGAAATCTCTTTTTAAATTCTTGAACTGATGTTTCTTCTACTTTCCTTCTGTAGGGATGTGACGCATCAGTCATTATTGCATCGCCAAATGGGGATGCGGAAAAGGATGCTCAGGATAATCTCTCCCTTGCAGGAGATGGATTTGACACTGTAATCAAGGCGAAGCAGGCAGTGGAAAGACAATGCCCTGGAATAGTCTCTTGTGCTGACATTTTGGCTCTTGCTGCCAGAGATGTTGTAGTCCTGGTAAGGATGGTCCACGATTTCCATGAAAGATATATAGTCCTCCGCATACATACCAATATAAATTAAGCAAACTCACAATCATTCTAATTTGTTTGTTATGTGAATCAAATCTTAGGCTGGAGGTCCATCATGGGAAGTAGAATTGGGACGTCGAGATGGCCTCGTATCGAAAGCATCCAACGTAGCAGGAAATCTACCTGAGCCTGAATTCAACCTTGTTCAACTTAACACCATGTTTGCCAGACACAACCTTACCCAATTTGATATGATTGCACTCTCAGGAGCTCACACTGTTGGCTTCTCTCACTGCAACCGCTTTGCAAATCGGTTATACTCATTCTCTTCATCTTCTCCTGTGGATCCTACTTTGGACCCTAACTACGCACAAGAGCTGATGCAAGCCTGCCCTCGAAACGTAGACCCCAGCATTGCCATCAACATGGATCCTGAAACCCCGCAAACTTTTGACAATGTGTACTACCAGAATCTAGTTGCTGGGAAAGGCTTGTTCACTTCGGATGAGGTGCTTTTCACTGATCCTGCATCCGAGCCTACTGTAAATGATTTCGCTACCAACCCTGGTAACTTTAATGGAGCCTTTATCACAGCAATGAGGAAGCTTGGAAGGGTGGGAGTTAAGACCGGTAAAAATGGAGAGATAAGAATAGACTGCACTGCCTTCAATTCATGAAAGGAGAATGAAGTACGGGCCTAAAAAGGAGCAATCAGTCACGAAATAAATGTGACCTGAATTCTTTTCTGCTTTGTTTTTGTATCTTCTGGTTTGGCACAGGGAATTTGAAGATGAGGCCAGAAGGAGTTTCTCTCGTCATCAAAGAAATAAGTATATAATCTTCGAAAAGGAATTTCCCTGTAATTAATGTTTTTTTTTTTTTTTGTTTCTGGTGCTTATTAGTGCATATACAGATGCCATTGTTTTGTAAATCATACAATAAATGGCATTTTTGTGCCCTGCTATCCTTCAAGGCTTTAACTTGTTTACTTGTTCTCTCAACATAAATAAACCTTAATTTGTTCTCCGACAAGGTTTTTCACAAGAATTGTAACAGCCCAGAATGGTTTCCCATGTGAGGAAGCCAGGTTCAATGCTTCAGTTCAAGTCACTCGGGGGATTTGTTTGAGGGAGTTTGAAAGCCATGAGACTATGCGAGGGAGGTTGATTTCATTTATTGATTTATAGTAAGCACTAACCCTGAAAAAGTCATTCATACACACGCATTTGACCTTAACAAGAGCACTGAAATCCCAGATAAATTATTCAACATCATAAATTAAGTAGCAGCTCTGTTCCCTATGTGAATATTCTACTATATTCTTTGGACTTATGATTTTTTATTGTGTCACTTTCATCTCTAACTGACAACCAAGGCAGGTTGAATTTTAAAAGTCTGAACTCTGAACTCATCTAGAAATTCCCCTACTGGAAAAGGATGTGAACATCTAGTCAGTAAAGCAATGAGGATTTCTACCACTACTGGTACTCCAGCATTGATAACAGGCTTATGTTTGGCAATCAGGACTTGAAAGATGATCACTGCAGTAGCCTAAAATTACTGTTCTATTGGTTTTGTTTTCTCTCTGATAATTTTAGATGTTGTAAAAAGTTGCAGTAACAAATTAGAATGACTTACCGCTTCATGAATAGCACTACAACATACACAACTCTTTTCAACAGAAATTCATAGAAAATCTATCCAAAAAAACTAATTTTAATGAAAAAACATCTTTTTCCTACAGAATATTTCTTCAAGAAAAACTCTTTTTTTTAATGTAGTTAGAAATTACAACTAAGGTACTAGAGAAAAGACATCCTACGGTAGTTGGATACACGAACCAGAGAAAAGGACTAATCCTCATCAAGGGGCCAAAATAATATAGTAGCTAGCTGAAATAAATAATATTTATATGATTTGGTCAGCTGATTTGTGAATCAAGCACATCTTGTCCAAAAAATTAGAAGGCTCTTCACTTCCTTGTTTCTTCTTTATATATATGACCCGCTCTTGGGTATACATGACCTGTGGAGGAACTGAAACTCGAAGAGAAGTTGCACAACTAAACAAGGAAAGGAAATGGAGGTGAAGACAGGGTTGATATTATTCCTAGTTTTTATGATACTGCAGAGGGGAGAGGGACAATTATCTGAGACTTTCTACCAAACTAGTTGCCCGAAATTGGAATCCATAGTAAGAAACGTGGTGACCCAAAAGATTAACCAGACGTTCGTCACAGTTCCCGCGACCCTGCGCCTGTTTTTCCATGACTGCTTTGTTGAGGTAAAGGAAGCATAGCCAATCTTCCACTTTTCTTGTTGTTTCCTTAAAATCAAAAGATTATTTTGTTCCTATAGCTTAGAGGGGAACTCTTCCTCTCTTTTGAAGTTCTGCTTTGGAGATTGGATTGTTCATTTCCCATCAATTGCTTGCATATCCAATGCAATGTATTTGTTGTGCATATCTTGCAACAGATGAATTTCCGAATGTACTTTACAAATAATTTACTTACAAGTGGTAACCGACTTTTTATTTTTTTTCTCTCTTAAAGAAAACAAAATAGGTTAATTAATTCCTTATGGTCACAGTCACGTTTGGGGGCCTGTTATGTCGTATTTGTAGCTGATCTGGACAGGACCAAACCGTTGACTATGAGTGTAGGAAAACATGAAATCACCTGATCAGTTACTAGATAAAAAGTTGAAAGGCCATTGATGTATGGGAAGTCTCTTCAAACAGTTAATCATTTTTATAAATAATTTTCCCTTGTATATGGTTTCTTTTGTAGGGTTGTGATGCTTCAGTCTTGATTGCTTCGCCAAATGGGGATGCAGAGAAGGATGCTCCGGACAATCTCTCCCTTGCAGGAGATGGATTTGACACAGTGACAAAGGCCAAGCAGGAAGTGGAAAAACAGTGCCCAGGAGTAGTCTCCTGTGCTGACATTTTGGCTATTGCTACTAGGGATGTCATACACCTGGTAAGGAATGCCCAACTATTTACCTGGAAAGCCAAAATCAGTCCATTTGATGCGTTACACCCACTACAAAAGATTGCATTTTTTCCGATGAAATATTTTCCAAGAATTTCAACAGATTTCCTACTCTCGTTATTTTTCTACAAATTTTCGACAACGAACAAAATGTGATTGTAAAATAGTCAGAAAATCTTTTGGGCATAAAAAGATTTTCATGCCACCAAAATTTTCGATGAAACATTATATATTGAAAAAAGTCAAATTTTTTGAAATGACATGACAAAACTCATATGTATTCTAACTGTTTTATAATTTGATTAAAATCCCAGGCTGGAGGTCCCTCATTCAAGGTAGAATTGGGACGTCGTGATGGCCTTATCTCACTGGCATCCAGGGTAGCTGGAAATCTGCCAGAACCTACGTTCAATCTCGCTCAACTTAACACCATCTTTGCCAAAAACAACCTTACACAAATTGATATGATTGCGCTCTCAGGATGTCACACTGTAGGCTTCTCTCACTGCAATCGCTTTGCAAACCGCTTGTATTCATTTTCTCCGTCGTCCCCTGTTGATCCTGATCTGGATCCTACCTACGCACAGGAGTTAAAGCAAGCCTGCCCTCAGGATGTAGACCCCAGAATTGCCATCAACATGGATCCCGTAACCCCGCAAAAATTTGACAATATGTACTTCCAGAATCTAGTTGCTAAGAAGGGATTGTTCACTTCAGATGAAGTGCTCTTCACCAATCCAGCATCTCAACCAACTGTAATTGATTTTGCTAAGAACCCTGGTGACTTTAATGCAGCCTTCATCACAGCAATGAGGAAGCTTGGAAGGGTGGGAGTTAAGACTGGTCAAGCTGGACAGATAAGGGTAGACTGCACAGCCTTTAATTCTTGAAAGGAAGAACTTGGCATGAAGCCATGGAAATATAATCGTCAATAAGGAGGATTTGTCTTTATGTCTGGAGATCACCTGCAAGGAATTTCTTGTAATCAAAGAATAAACTATAGTGTTCGAACCCTGTCATTCATCTCTGAGTTCTTTGTGCTTGTCTAGTGCAGTAACCAGATGCCATTAATGTTTTGTAAATCATACAATAAAAAAGCAGTAATTGCCATATTATTCTTGGAGGATTAAACTACCTGTACATTTCCAAAATGACCTTAACATTAAACAACAAGATTTCAAGGGAGCAAGGACATGAAACGAGAGAGCCTGCCCACACCGATGCAGGTGAGATCATTGCTTGCCTTAGGGAACTGTGAAATTTCAAGCCATTTCCACCCCAATAAGTAAACTCTTTCCGAGACTTAAGGTAGTAATTGTATATTTGCTAAATCAAAACAAGTATAGTGTATGGAAATTTCGTATTGACAATTATATGACATATATGGAAAAATATGATTTTTTTAAAATTTAAACTTTCAATATACTCTTTAATAATATATATTTTTAAATAAAATATATAATTTTATATTAATTTATTAATAAAAAAATAAAAAAATATTTAATATGTTAAAATCAAAAGAGTGAATTTGATCTTATTTTTAATATATTTTTGTTAAATCTAATCTTAAAGATTGAAATAGTAGTTTTTCATATTTCAATTCAAAAAATAGATAAATAAATAAATGAGTTTTTTTAATTTAAAAAAATCATTAAAAGTATATCATAATATATAATACATTACATTTTCGATATATAATCAAATATGACATAATATATTGATCCGTATCATTTTTAATTAATGTCGTAGCAAATCGTATTATATGTATTGTACAATATTGATAATTATGATTATTGTTACTTGGAAAAAGATTGTATTTGCCCAACACAGTAGAAAGTGATCATAGTTTTAGCTGGAATTACTATTCTATTTGTTTCGTTCTCTCTGACCATTTAAGAGGTTCTAAAACAAAGTTGTATTTACCAATTAGGAATGACCTCCTACTTCCTAGAACGGGATGGTTAAGAAATGAAAACTAAGGAAATATAAAAAAAAGATATGCGAACTATCTGTTCCCAGATACACATTGGCGGAAGAAAAGGACTAATTCTGAAGAAAGGGCTAAAATAATATAGTTGCTTGCTGAATGAATAAATATTTATATACTTAGGCCAAGTAATAAGCAAATCAAGCAACTTGTAACAGAACTAGAAGACTCGTACTTCTCTTCCCATGTTTCCTCTTTATATATGACCATTCTTACATGAACATGGCCTGTGAACTGGCTGAAAGACACAGAATTTTTATAGCCAAGGAAGAAAATGGAGATGAGGAGAGGATTGACATTGTTCATAGTTTTCATAATTCTGCAGAGTGGGGAGGGAAGATTAACTCAAAGTTTCTACGACACTACCTGTCCGCAAGTGGAATCTATAGTAAGAAAGGTGGTGGTAGACAAGGTTAACCAAACCTTCATCGCAGTCCCCGCGACCCTACGATTGTTTTTCCATGACTGCTTTGTTGAGGTAGGTTAGCAAGATCAATCTTTCATCATTTTATATATATATATATATATATATATATATATATATATATATATATATATAACATGTCTATCGTCATGATTGAGATGTTTGATAATTGCCCTTTAGTTGCTTGCTTGTCTACTTAATGCAACGTATTTGTTCTATATAGCTTGCACGAGATGATGTTCTGACTGTTATTCAGAAACGATTTTCTTATATACAAACCGTGGATCTGTTATTTTCCTTTTCTTAAATGAAACAAAATGGTTTAAGTTTAATTAGTCATGGTCATGTTTGGTTGCTGTTATATTGTAGCTGACTTAAATATAACCAAGCCCATTGAGTAGAGCAGCAGCAAATCATCCTTTGCCGTTATCGGATAGTTACATTGCTCTCCCAATCCTTACGACAACTGGTGTGTTTGACATCACTAGCCACAGGCAAAAGAGACACTAGGAAGAACAGTATCGTAGAATCTGTGAAAAAAGAAACAAACAAACTAAGAGGAGATCATCAGAAAGAATAAACTAGTTTATAATTTGCCATTGTATGTGGTTTGCTTTGTAGGGTTGTGATGCATCAATCATGATTGCATCTCCAAATGGGGATGCAGAGAAGGATGCTCCAGACAATCTCTCCCTTGCCGGCGATGGATTTGACACCGTAATAAAGGCCAAGTCAGCGGTGGAAGCAAAATGTCCTGGAGTAGTCTCCTGTGCAGACATTTTGGTTATTGCTGCTAGAGATGTTATACGCCTGGTAAGGAATGTCCGACAGTCTAGCTGAAAGTTAGAACCTGTCTTGAAATACATATCACTATGAAGCAAATCTCATGTTCCCAAGTTGTTTTTCATGTGATTGTAATCTTAGGCTGGAGGTCCTTCATTTAAAATACAATTGGGACGTCGCGACGGCCTGGTATCACAAGCATCAAGAGTAGCAGGAAATCTGCCAGAGCCTAGCTTCAATCTCGCTCAACTCAACACCATTTTTGCCAAAAACAACCTTACACAAACTGATATGATTGCACTCTCAGGAGCTCATACTGTAGGCTTCTCTCATTGCAGTCGCTTTGCAAATCGCTTGTACTCATTTTCTCCATCCTCTCCTGAGGATCCTGATCTGGACCCTACCTACGCACAGCAGTTAAAGGAAGACTGCCCTCAAGATGTTGACCCTAGAATTGCCATCGACATGGATCCTGTAACCCCACAAACTTTTGACAATATGTACTTCAAGAATCTAATTGCGAAGAAGGGCTTGTTTACATCAGATGAGGTGCTCTTTACCAATCCAGCATCTAAACCAACTGTGATGAATTTTGCTCAAAACCAAACAAACTTTAAAGCAGCCTTCATCGTTGCAATGAGGAGGCTTGGAAGGGTGGGAGTTAAGACTGGTAAAGCAGGGGAGATAAGGCTAGACTGCACAACCTTCAACGCTTGAAGGGAAGATATTGGCATGGATTAGGAGCCTCAGTATGTGCATTTGATCACAGAATAAATTTAACCTGGATTCTTTCTTTGTCTTGTTTTTCTGTTTTGTTTTACTGCTGCTGCATTGAGATCACCTTGCAAGGAGATTCTCTCTTCAGCAGACAATAAGTACTCTTTGAAAATAATTAATTCTTTATCATGTCTTTTTCTTCTGGTGCTTGCCATTGCAGTAGTAGCAGACCTCGTTTAACTCGTTTACTTCCTGTCTTTAGTTTCCAATAAAGCATTTCATTAGTTGGCAAAGGGTAAATGCTTGTTTAGCCATGGAAATGGAGAAGAGAAAACAAAAACCATGTGACTTAGAACGGAAATGTTGCTTTAAACACGTGGTTGATGGTTGTATCCATGATTTCTTGTCACACTTATTTGACTTATCTAATTCCTGCAAATGCAATCTTTTCGAGGAATTTAAGTTTATCAAGCAGGTCATTTAGACCTTTATATCTTGTAAATCAAGATTCGAAATATCATTTAAGCACCAAGTCATCATGTCAACTTCATTGGCGTTGCCTCCTACAAGAAAAATTATTAGCAAATTAACAAATAATATACCAGTCCAATTGAAACCGACTTGTCAAACTTTAGGACAGTTCATTTTTTATTTTTTAAGTTTACAGGCAACGTAGTTGAAAGCTATTTTCTATTTTCTTCAAATTTTTTGTAATCGGATGAAATAATAACATGTTTTCTATAAAGATGAGGCAAGCTCATATTTTTTCAATGTCTTTAGAAATGTTAATGGGTAAGGTATTAATTATTTTTGAATATCCTACATTGGGTATCCAATTATTTAATGGGTATCCGAACCCTATAAATACTAGATTAAATTTTAAAATTATTATATGAACTCATATAAAAATATCCTTAGTACTATCTATTTAATAACTAAACTCGATAAATATTCTATTAAAATAAATTTAAAATCAACTTTTATGTATATTAGTACCAAAAATTAAATTAATAAATTAAAATTAATTCATAAAAAATATTCATCTTTAAAATTAAAACAATTAATGAATTGAAATGAGCATTATATTAATCATTAAAAATTTATAAACAAAAATAATATAGACATAACTAAAATTTAATTTTTAAAATTATTGTTTATAATCGGGTTTGGGTAGTGATCACCTTAATGCAACTACCCAAACCCATGACTGGTAGTAGCTTAAACATTAAAATTTAAAATCATATTTAAAATAATTAATAAATTTTAATAAGCATAACACTTTAAGATCACTCTCAAACCCTTGACTGGTAGCAACTTTATTACCCTAACTTTACCCAAGCTCAATTATAAAATTTCTTAATTATATTTAATTGGCGGGTTGAATAATATACGATACTCAGGTATTTGAGCTCTCCAAACAGTATAAGAAGTTCCGAAAAATTCCATGAACAAACCTTATCCAATAATCTCAAAGCGTGAAATGAACACGACACAGCAATCCAGTCGCTAAGCAGCACTTGTTTACATAATATGAGGTGCTCTTTACCAATCGAGCATCTAAACCAACTGTGACTAATTTTACTAAAAACCAAGGTAACTTTAGAGCAGCCTTCATCACAGCAATGAGGAGGCTTGGAAGGGTGGGAGTTAAAGACTGGTAAAGCTGGGGAGATGAAGGTAGACAGCACAACATTCAATTCTTGAAGGGAAGATATTGGCATGGAATAGGAGCCTCACTATGCGCATTTGATCACAAAATACATACAACCTGGGTTCTTCTTTGTCTTGTTTTAACATCTGTTATGTTTTACTGCTGGTATATTGAGATCACCCTGCAAGGAGATTCTCTCTTCAGCAGACAATAAGTATTCATTGAAACGGATTAGGCCTCTATCATGTCCTTGTCTTCTGGTTCTTGTCACTGCAGTCTTTATTTTCCAATAAAGTATATCAATAGCTGGCAAGAGTAAATGCTGGAAATGGAAGAGAGAAAAAATTCATGTGACTTGCAACGGAAATGTTGCTTTCAACACATGGTTGATGGTTGTATCTATTATTTCTTCTCACACTTTTTTTGACTTTTCTCCTTCCTGCAAATGCCATTTTTTCGAGGAATTCATCCTTATCAGACAGATCATTTAGACCTTTATAACCCTATAAATCAAGATTCAAAGTATCATTAAAGCACCAATGCATCATGTCAACTTCAATGGCATTTTTTTAAAGGTAAAATTTAATATTTATTAATAAGAAAGTGTACAGAAAATCAACCTTCTTACCCTGTAGTGATACAGAACCAAGCAAAGAAGGCTAAAAAGACCCCCTTTAAGCTTCATCTGCGTATAACTAAGATGATACAGTGATTGGTGCATGTTACCGTACCTAAAGTGTAGGATTCGACTACCCTTTTTCTCAATTATTAAAAGAAAATTATAAAAAAAAATGATACGTGGCAACTCTGGTTGCACTTAGGATCAAAACAGGTACTTTTTCAAGGGACATCTCGCCTGAACGAGAGAAGTCCACACTCTACAGCCGACAGATATGATTCCAGCCAAGCTACAGTCAGCACCATCAGGTTCAGCTTCCCCACCCCAGAAAATATCCTCTGTACAAAAGGTAGTTGACAAATTCCACCTCCTTCATCAGAAACCGAAATCAGACCCACGCCCTTTGCCAAAAACCTATGATGTTCCTCCCTTAACATTTCAAGAATATTCAAGTGTGTTTATAATGGACGATTACTTGATGCATGCCTCTCGTGCGGGTGATATAGATGTCATGAATGAACTAATTTGGGAGAAAGATGATGTTTTGAAACAGATTGATGAGAAAATGTTCGTAGATTCCCCTTTACACATAACAGCTTGTTCTTGGAAAACTCGTTGTGGAATGGAGATTAAGTTGATGCATTCCTTTGTCAAAAAGTTAAACAAGTTTGGGCCTAACTCCATGCACCTTGTCCTGATAAAGGGACATTTCGAGTTAATCTTTTTATTTCTACATGCTGGTTCTGCTTTTGTTTGTGTCGAAGGAAGTGGGGCTTGCTCCTTTACATTATGCTATCAATCATATAAACATTCATGTCATGGTTAAATTCCTAGTGGTTTGTCCAAAGTCTATTAAAGCTATGACGGTTGATGTGAGATTGTTTTGCACATTGCTGTTCAAATAACATGATAGAGGCTTTTGAAGTTCTGATTGGATGGTTTCAGAGAATCTGCCACAAAGGTGCCTGAAAAAGCCTCTAATATGCTTGTTTAGGCAGCAATGTGCAAAACAGTCTCATCTCGAACAGTCACATTTTCAATAGACTTTGGCAAGCTATTAAAAATTTAACCATGAGATGGGTGTTTTCATACTTGATAAAATAATGTAAAGGAGTATGACGCTCTATTCCTTTGACACGAGCAAGATCAGAATCAGCATATACAAATCAAGACACCAATTCGAAATGTCTATTTATCAGAACAAAGTGCATGGGAATAAGCCAATCTTGTTTAACTTTTTTGCAAAGAAAGGCGTCAAGTTAATCATCTCCATTGCAAAACGAGTTTGCCCAGAAAAAACTGCTATATGTAGAGTAGAATCTACGAATACTTTCTCATCAATCCACCTCATAACATCATTATCCTGCCAAATGAATTTATACTGATTGATTAGAATTTTTTTTTTTTTGGGTTTCTCTCGTTCTTTTTGCTGATGAAAGTTCTGATTTTTATCATCTACCGGTTGATGTGAATTTCCTGGCTGTTCTTCTCTCGGTTTTTTGCTGCATAGGCAAGTTCTGCTCTCCTGCCTTGTGTTTAAGTTTTGAGGCTATCTTGTGCAGATCTTGGTTGTTCCTCTTGGGTGGTCCTTTCTGCTTCTTTTGCACAAGGAATTTTTGCACTTAGGTTTTTGTAGGATGATTGTTGGTCCTTTGGTGTTCTGTTGTTGGGATTTCTTTTGATCTCATCACAACCTGAGTCTCGAGTCTTGCTGTGTACAATTGGTCTCTTGATGCCTTTTGGCTTGATCCTCGCCTTCCTTTGGGCAACTTTAGTAGAACTGTCTTTATATGGAAACCAAATTGCCAATTTAAAAAAAAAAAATTCATATTTACATCACCCACTCAATAGACCTAAATCAAATGAAACCCGAAACTACCACATGCTCATTTGATTGGTGACTCTAAAAGGAAAGAGAAAGAAACATTGAGACAGACTAAAGGATGACAAAATATGTCAGGTTGCCAGGCTCGGTACAAGAAATAATGGAGTCAATTTCTGAAGGTAGATGTTCTTCAGTTGGTAGCTTGGTGCTTCTCTCTTGCAATGCTGGGATTTTCTTGTTGATTCTTTTGCTGAATCCATGGACAGATGGAACTTCTGAAAACATTGAGAGTTCTCTGTCTTCATTCCAGATATTGAGAATAACCAAGCTGGCTCTCAAGTATAAAAAGCCACACAGGAAATGAGGACTCCATACAAAATTTCCAAAAGTGAAAAATGAAAAAGAAAAGAAAGTGTCACTTGCATCGCTTTGAATTAAAGATAGTTTTCTCAAGTAATCACATCTCTTAATGTGCTAAGGTAGGCCAGACATACAGGATAGACTATCATTAAAGCCACAGTACTTTACCTGTGATCAAAACAACCACAATCTACATGATCAAGAGATGCAAGTTTAATCTAGAACACCTCTCGTTGAAAATGTCAAAAAAGTTACATCAACAAAATCAAACTCAGTTCATATAAGAAGTGAGAAAATGTAAAGAACTTGAACACTCAAAGCAGAATCTTTCACAATTAAAGATGGTATCACTAAACTAGATTACGAAGCAAAGAATATAATCTAAACTTGTTTTAGTATTGGAACATGCTCCGCACCAATATCTTTATGGCAATACTATTATCACAAATTTAAGGCAAACACATACAATCTCAGTTTTTGGCAAAAACACCCCCGTTAAATGGATGAAATACTCATGAAAGTTCCTCCTAGTTCTCACCCTAGAAGTCAAGTGCGAGATTTTCCATAAAGGTGGGCATAAACAGGCTTAGTACGATACACAAGTATCATACTTAAAACAGCTGCAACGACACAAAATCCTGACATAATCATGGAAGTCAGAAAGAAGCACACAGAACCTTCACACTTGAGTGGTTCATCCTGGGCAAACATCCCTGAGAAAATCGATCCTGAAACTGGAGGCTGGATATGATGTTGCTGAGCTTGCTTCTCTGCTTCACGGTCATAAATACTGCTAGCAATTACACCTGAGAAGACAAGTGAACCTGCAGGATTTCCCAGCGTGAGGAAATTGTAGAGGGCCCCAAACTTTTTCAAGCCAAACAACTCGGAGGCAGCAGCCGGCACAATTGCCCAGTGGGCACCATAGCCAAGCCCAATCAACAGAGTACCAATGTATATTGCTCCAGGCCATCCCATAGCAAAGAAGACATGACCAACAGACATAACAAGCTGGGCCACAGCAATAGATACTGGCCTTGGATAAGCGTAATCCCTATACAGTGATGTCACAGTAGAAAGGTAAGAAAAATGAGTAAAAATCATTATTAAAGTAAAGTCTATCAGCATCCAGGTGCAAATGATATCAGTCTGTACCTCACAATGATCTCTGAGAAGTAACCTCCACCAACACGACCAAGAAAGTTCCAAATGCTAATCATGGATACAAATATATGAGTGTTATTATACCCTAGAGATTGGCTCATCTGACCAAGATTATCTATCACTGTCAACCCTGATCCTGAACCTAATAGAAGAGAGAAAAATATAAGCCAAAAGTCTGCTTTGATCAAAGCCTGCATTAAGGTAAAGTCTTCCCCTCTATGAGGACCTCTCCTTCTCTTCACCCTCACTGCTCCTTCAGCAGCAGCTTGAAACAGTTTTGCTTGCAATTGAGCAATTCGCTTTTGCCTTTCTGATGCTGGAAGCAAGTCTACTTCCTTGGGTTTCTCGTCTTCAACCTCACTGAATATTACTTCATTAGCATCATGTTCAGATTTTCCTGCTTCTTGTTGCTCTGGCTTTGGTAGAAGAGCCTCTTCTGCTGGATCTCTAGACTCTCCGCAGAAACTCAATATAATGGGAATAGCTATGGGAATGACAAGAAGAACGAACAAAATCACTGTAAAAATTGTGACCAAAATGTGGCTCACATCAACAAGATCTTCCAGAAGCATGACCCCCATCAAGTAAGCAGCCAATAGGAGGCACACACTATAAATAAATGTAAAACTTAAACCATCAGAAGGCCGCACTTGTCTGTGACCTCCAACAGGTCTGATAATGAACATTAGAGCAATAACCACCATTGCTGGGCCAACTGCAACCATGAATATTAAAGACGCGTGATCTGGGAAATTAATCATTGTGTATATCTGAGTCAAAATTGCACCACTCAAACCAGCAAAGCCCTTGAGTATTCCTACCACAGGACCCCTGCTTTTGGGAAAGTTTTGCACACAAGAAACCAGAGCAGCTGTATTGAAGTAGGTTTCACCATTGTTTCCCACAAATATTAAGATGCACATCTGCAAACTGAGATGGGTTAACAATCTGACTGATGTGAGATGCTATATAATATTAAAAATTTCTGAAGATACACAAATTTTTGGACCAAGTTAAAAGGAATAGCTTGAAATGATCTTAGTAACATGTGAAATAAATCAATCACCTTAATTTAGCACCTCAAATCCACATTTGATCTTCCAGATAAAAGAACTAAATAGACTGGTATCCATCTAATAAATTTTCTCCAATAATTCAGGATCAGATCACCTCAAGTCGTTTCTTCAACTGAGCATGGCAATCTTCAACTTTTATCCTAAGTTATGCTTCTTACTTGACATTTTTTGAGATTTTAAAACATTTTTTATGAAAACTGCATGTTTATAAAAACAATATATAAAAAAATGATAATGAACCAGAAAGTGGTGAATCTGAATTCTAAAAGGATTTGATATTAGGACAATCAAATATCATAGATGATGTTGATTGCAAGCTAGCTGGCCTGGACCTGTGATGACAGCCATTATTGGTATAGTTTATATTTGAGGATGCTTACTTAAACCACCAGAAAGACAGAAGCCCCCATTCCCCCTCAAGAGCCTTAAAAGACGAAAGTACTGTGCAACTCAGCCATATCTCTTATTCTCCATTATCAACTACAATAACTGACTACTTATTCCGGCATCTGTCAATTATTTTAGCCTAAGCAGAAGAATGACATGGCAAGAAGTTTGCATACTGTATTTTGTTTTTTCTAATTATAGTTTTTGTTTCAAAAGTTCAACCTACATGTTTTGATACAGTAAGACATTAGGTATAACTAAGAAGAATTATTATATGGATAAGACACAACAATCCACAGAAGTTAGATGGGGAATTAGAGGTTCGTTGCAACCTAGAGGTTCATGAGACAGTCAATAACCAAGAATAGTTAAGTAACCAGCTCATATACAACTGCATCACTAACCAGAATGACTTATCAAATTTTTTGAATGGATAATGACAAGTTTAAGCGTCTTAAAACATCACAACTGCCAGAAATGCTAGGCTGCTGAGCCAAATAATATGTTTTGAAAGGGAAGAAACAGCAGGGGAGAAGGGAATAGGGGGAAAGAACTGCACAACAATAAAACAAAATAAAGAAACTAGTTGATTTGCCAATGTTGTCAGAATAGGCAAACTTAAAACCATTTCACAATCACTACGGCATTGATTCTAATTTTGTAAAATTACAAGCAAAATCTGTTATCAGATGGATATTGGATATTCCTTTTAATCAATTCCTCCAATCATATAACTCAAATGAAACAGAAAAGGAAAAAAGAATCAATCATTAAAATCTTAAAATGATCAAATTATGACTCAACAAAAATGGCTACTGTTCATATGGGGATTAAAAAGACAAAATTTATAAGCAGAAAATATTACCATATGGACCAAAATGCTCAAAAGGAAGAAGAAACAGAGGATCATATCATTTCCAAGCAAACAGAAGAGAAACGGAAGAACTGAAAAAGACTTACAAAGTGACTGAATTAAATCAAGTATTCAACATTATCAACTACCAACCAAGATCAATCAACACAAGAACAAAAACTTCCAGATTTCAGCTGTCTCATTCATGATAATATTACTGATAAAAGAACTTATAAATTGATACTCACAGCCCACAAAGGCAAAACTGAAACTCTCCCAGTAACAATCAACCAAACCCAACCATAACCAACAAGGTTCTGCACAGCACCAACGAGCAAAGCACCCCATAGAGGCAAAATCTCAGACAAGCTCCCAGCTAAGAACCCAACACTATCACCAAGATCTTTAGCCACACCTAACTTTGCAAGCTGCCTTTGATTATAATTCAAAGAACTCTTTATCACAGGTGATATGCTACCAAACAAATACCCAATCCCAGCACAAGATTGTATCCACATTGCGGCCACAAAAACCAGCCATCTGTTATTCACAAAAGCCTGGAACCTTTCTTTCAATCTTACCATTCTGCAATTCTTCAAAAAACCACCAAAAAACAGAAGGAAGGTGCTCTTGATTGAGGTATTGGCTTCTGTTCTCTATCCAAGTTGAAAAATTATGGATTTTTAACAAAGACAGATCTTTTTTTAAAGAAGAAAACTTTGTGGGCTCAATACATTTATATGCAAAAGAACGAAAGAGAAAGGTGAAGGATAATGATTTCGATGTGGGTGTTTCTTCGGTACATAATTCAACATGGCTACTGGCTGGTGCTGGCATTTTGCATAATTTTATTCTAAAATCCCGTGAATTTAGGGCTATTGTTCCAGATATTTACAGGAAATGCCACTGTGGTAAAGTGGAGGATGATGAGAAAATTTTGACATTGGTTTGATGCCTCATTGCTACCATAATATCTTCAAGAGACCACGTTGGGAACTGTTTGATTCTTTCTATAGCAGTTTCTGTTTGATTTTCTTGTTCTTCTATTGAGGGTCTGGGTGTGTGACATGTGGTATATTTGGAAAACAGATGGTTGAGATTAGCTCCTGTGTAACCATTTTTCTTTTTCTCCTAAACTTTTCACTGTCACAACAGGAAAAGCACAACAATAATACAACAGGGCAACCTTTGTGGCTTAAATTATAATAAAATTTAAAGTTATATGTGTTTTAAAATTAAATTTTTACATTTTTATCATATTTAATTAATTTTTTATTTATATTATATCGTATGAGCAATGAGCGTTTATAGCATATAATTACTCTGTGGCTTCTATTATATATGGGATTGGAATCTTGCTTTTTTCCTTCCTTGAACAACATATTAAGAAAGTATTGCATAAAGGGATCTCGTGTCTTTGGCAAAATGATGCTTTCCCAACATTCCTCATATGGGTGGGATTAAGCAATTCTCTTTTATCATTGCATTAGAGAATTAGAGAATCCAATTTTTGTGCACTTTATTCTAATTGAGTTGTCTTTATTTTTTGGATATATATTATATGCTATAATGCAATTTTTTATTTAGATTATTAATTATAAATATGCTTTTTATTTTTCTTTTTCTTTTTTTTAATATAATGGTATTGTTAATTTTTTAAAACCAACATTTAACTTAAAATCAATTGATTATAAGCAAATAAAACTTTTGTTATACTTAAATTCTCAAAATATCTCTAATGTAAGTTACATGAGATTCTTTTTATCATTGTTTCAATTTTTTTTTTAATGTGTAGGACAATAGATTTATCAAGTGAAAGAAATCATGAAGAGATATAAAGAGAGTCAATGAACGAGGACAACGTTTGCTCTAATATCATATCGAGGATGCCTTTTCAATATAAAATTAATTGATAATAAATGAATAGAACCTTGATAAGTATATCTTCCAAACAAATAGCGCCAGCCGAATTAAGGTACAAAGAAAAGGAAAAAGAAGAATCTTTTACCCTTTCTTGTATCTTCTATCTTATTGGAAAGCAGAAATGCCCTCCAACCAAAATGGCCATAGCTTTTAACTAGGATGTCCTTTGAAAACCCCAGCAATTCTGAGAGGGATATGACAGAAGATGCTATGTCTCTGCTGCTTAAAGAGGGTATTTTCCATTGCCTGTGAGGCATGAATTCATCTATTAGTGTCGGTTTCAATAGTCAATGAAACTTTTTCTAATCCAGCTTTCACCATTTTATCACCTAACTTGCTAATAAAATTAGTCCCAAAATTAAATAAAAAAAAACCTAATCAGATTCAAATATAATTTTTTATTTTTTATTTTTTGTTTTGTCTGTCACCCTCAAAATGATGAAAGTAGAAAATGAACATCTTAGTGCATAGGGCAAGCAAAAATAATGAAACAAAAATTATTGATTCCATGAATCACATGGCAATGGTGATTTCTCTTCTTTTATTATTATTTTTTTTTTGTTTTTGCTTCTGTACTTTTCTTTGTCTAGGTTTGAATAAAGTTAGAACCATGAACCTTGACTGATTAAAAATCCCATGTGATTTTCAAGTCCATAAATTCAATAACTTTGTCCTAAGTGTGACCCCAGCACGGTTCATGGCAGGAACTTTGTCAATTAAGGTAGGTATTCTGGATATTTAGATGTTAAGATTGTGGAGTTCAGAATGCTTCAGCATGATCATATATTTAAGAAAAGATTTTAATAATTATTATGATAAGTTTGACTTTGATTGTATTTTTCCCGATATTACTGTTAAAAGTCTTTTTAATTGCAACCTCTTTATTTTGTTAATAGCGTATTTATGAATTTAATTGTACCATATAAATTTTTAACAGTATTCTAAATAAAATGCAGTTGTAAAGATTGCATATACACCAAAAAAGCGTAATTAAAATTCAAATTTATTGCAATGCAATCAAAGAAATGAATTTCTAATAAAAGCAAAGATGCCAATATCCAAGCTTTGCTAAACTTTTGTGCAGAGTCTAACGATCTTTTTATATATTTAATATATCTGAGCAACATCCCTCGATATTTATTTCGATCATATACTATAAAATAATGCCGATTTAAGCTTTGTAATAATCGTCCTTTTGTCCATACAAACAATAAAATACCCTCGTGGGAAACATTTTGAGATACCAAGCGATGACAGGTGATGTATGAGGACCCCAGGAGTTTCCATCGTTTTGTAGGTACTGTCAAAGGCATGGGGGCCAGGGGCAAATAGATTACTACCAAAATCAATGTCCCGGATGGGAAGGCAGCAAGCTCTTCTGTTGCTTCAATTTGGCTCTCTCTTGTAGATAACTCTTGCAACCAAGAGTTTGTGTTTGAAAAATACACGTGTTGTGGTTTGAGACACTGTCGATAAATGGCTTTTCTAGCAGCAAACAGCCAGATGCCTCCAAAGGTAGGCAATCTACCTTCTTATCCATCCAGACTAAGCTAAGGGATTTCCTTCTTATCCATCCTGACATTGAATTTGCAATTTTAAGGTACTCTAGACTGATCCTGTAATTGAATATTGACACCAGTGCTAAAAATGTGTGTACATATATATGCTTTCCAGTACAATTTTAGAAAACTAGCTCAAATCCAAGTCGTATCTACTTCCCTTATCGCTAAGCATAAAGCATTTCAGTTATATCAACACTAAACTTTGCTAAAGATATTTGCAGAAGTGTTGGATTCTCTTAAGAGTACGAACAAAATCAACCGTTCCTACCATCATCTTTAACCTGTTTATTTTACTGAAAATTCTCCATTTATCGCATGATTTTAAGCTCGTGTTACGTTCCAGGATATATATGGCTACTGATTCTATTTGACTGATGAGCTTTTTTGCTTGTGCATTAGCTTGTCAGAACTTTGTATTTGTAGTACTAGTTAGTTGTGAGGTTTCTTGACGCTTTTTTTTGTGTTCAAACCATTAATTTTCATAATTTGGTAATTTTGTCTGTCAAAAGCACTTGTATTTCTGCTATAATATGGCAATAATTTGCATCAATCAGTCGTTTGACTCGGTGTTCTTCAACGAGTTTGGGAGGTGATTCGACATCAGTTTTGAACAAAAAGGAAATTTGATTTCCTCAGTTTTGATTAATTTTCTAGAAATAAAAACATTGTCCTGATCATGTCTAACTTGTTTCGGCACGTTCCTCCATGCTCACAACACATGTTTGATACCTGAAATTTATATAATTCTTGCTGCGTACTTCAATCCCTCGTGAACAGTTTAAAGACAAATCTTGATCAGGTAATCTAGCTAATAAAATATATTATATATACGTTTTCTCTTCCCACCAACCCACTACAAAATCTAAAACCGATTTTCTGCGAATCAAAAGCAAAAAAATAAAGAAAAGGGTCATCATTGATTCAATATTTGAGCTTGTAATATGGACAATCAGGGAGGAATATGCCTCTTTGCACAACTAAGATATAAGATCTGGATATTTTTTGAATGATTGTGCTTTTGGATTCTTTCTTTCAATACAAAAGAAATAGTGTTAATACTGGAGTGTTTGATTTATTAGTTGATATATTAATTTTATATTTTAAGAAATAGAATTCGATTTCTCTTTCCCAAAATCTAAAAATTAAAGATATAATGTTAGAAATGTTCTTTATCAAGCTTACATTAGTAAATTTCATTTATACTTGTTATGATTTTAATTTTTCTTACATGATATCTTGTGATTTCTTTTCTTTAATTAGCATTTTGTAAATATCTTTTTTTCAAGTAGTACCTTGTAAATAATTTTTATTCTCATAAGAAATTAGACTATTAAATTTGCCTAATAAAATTATTAAAATATTTATATATTTTTCACAAAATTAATAATCTAATTCTTTATGAAAATAGAAATTATTCACATAATGTTAATTGATTAAAAAAACACAAAATGGCATCTAAGAAAAATTAATAAAAAAAACCATGTCTAGCATTTTGATTTTGATCTGTGTTGATTTTGACCCACCAGGCTGGGGGAGGTTGGGATCTCCCTTTCAAGACTTGCTTTTGTTTTTGTGGTACCACTTGAGAGATAGGACTAGCTGAAAAAACTAGTCATATTATCACAAAACTCCAAAAGTGTAGAAACTAAAAGGATTTTGAGAACTGATCACATCAGGATGAATGTATAGCATGGGACTTAATCAAATAAAACATCATGGCTAGCTTTTGTCCTTAGCCAAAACGAAGATTACAAGCTAACCTAACTTTATTTTACATCGTAAAATATTTTGATTATAGATGTTTTATACATGGTGATAACACGAAGTTGTCATGAATGATGTATAATTTTTTATCTTAATGTAATTATTTTATCGACAAGTGCATTGTGTGTAGACATGTTTTGGATGGTCATTCATATTTGAAACGTTCTTTTAATTTTTGTTTTTTATATTTGTGTGTAGACATATTTTTTAATCATCTGTTATTTTATGATTTTCAATTGAACTTCTTTGATTGAGAAAATAAATGAATAAATTATCTTGATTATTGATTTTAAAGCATTAAAATTTAGAAAGGACACAAGTAGTTGATCAATAATTGCTAGGGATGAAGTCGGGGAAAATGGAAATTGACATTTTGTACATTTAGCAAAACATTTTCTTGTTAAATATTGATGATCTTAATGACTGAAGGTTTACAACTCTTTAATAATTTCAAGCTGTAGCAATTCTAGGATTGGTGTGGCTGAAAGTGTTTGCAGATATATGATGATACTTTGGTGCAATTTGTATAGGCAAGTTGCAATGATAGGTAATAATTCTGGTCTTTGTCTCTTCAACAAGATGTTAAAATAAATGACATGACATTTGGGTCTTGGGAAAAGAAAATGACATTGGGTAATTTGTTCTTTGAATGTTTATTCATAGTAGTGTTGTAACCTGTAAACATGCTCCTCCAACTTGTAGCAAGGCTACAAATTAAATAGAAAAAAAAAGAAAGAGAGAGGAAAACATATAATTAAAGGAAATATTTTGCAAGCTCAAATGCTAGTTATCCCTTCACTATGCCTAAAGCATTAAATAGAAAAAAAAATGATTCATGACAGAGTTGCTATGAAGCTTGCTAAAGGAATGCATGTCAGTAGTATATGTGTTGTATTTAATTAATTTATTTATTTATTGAAAATTGACGAAAAAAATTTGAATTATATTTTTTAAATAAAAAAATTATGTATTAACTAATTAATTAAATACTCGAATATATATTTGAATTGATTTTATGTTCAGATTGATGAATGAACCTGGTTATCTATTACCAAATATGGATTTTTGGGTTAAATACTTTTAACATGGTGTCAAATTTATGATTCTACCAATCTTCTGTATCAAAAGGAAAAGAGATTAATGATCTTACTTTTAGTTGCTGACCCATTGAACATGTCAGCCAATTGCTTGAAGCCTTTTCACAAGGCTTTGATTTGAGAGCTCATATGTGGCTTTAGGCAATCTACATATGAAAGTAGTTTTTTTCTCTTTCATTTGGGTTTATATCAAATAATCATAAAAGTGAGACAAAAATTTAAATATTAATTTAAGGCACTACAGCAAATTAAATTTGATCTTTGACTGTATTATTTCAATGGTGTTGTTAAAAGTCTTTTTAACTTAAATCAATTCCTTTTACCTTTTAACGACACTTTTACAAAAAAAATTGACCGTATCATATAAAATTTTGACAACGTTTGAAAAAAACAAAATCGTAAAAGTTGTATATATTAGTGATAGTTATACTTTATTTATTATTATCAAAAGTAAAAACAGTACAACTAAAATTTTAAATAACAACATTTTTACGGTTTTCGTCACGTAAAAAATATATGTTGAACTAAATAAATATAGTTAAAGCCCAAATTTATTATAATAGGTCAAATCTTAAATTAAAAATAACTTTGAGAGTAAATAAGTAAAAATAATAGTTTGCTTACATATGGTAAGGACAAGAGTATCAATCACAAGACATTACAAACCATCAATATTAAATAAAGTATGGGGATTGAATTTTGTAAACCAAAGAGGAAACAATGGGCAAAAAACAAAACATAAATGAAGTTTGATATGAACACTCCACAAAGGGTTGAATTATTAGATTTATTTAGTCTTTTGTATCAAACATATATGCGCCATTGTAGCGTCCTTTTTTTATTTTTTGAAAAGCGCGATTGTAGCATCCTTGTCAGTCTATCCATGTTGGTAAGACAAGATCTTCACTCAACCTTATATTTTACAATCCGCTCATCACCATGAAAGTCGATATGTCCGAGTGGTTAAGGAGACAGACTTGAAATCTGTTGGGCATGCCCGCGCAGGTTCGAACCCTGCTGTCGACGTATCAGTTTTTGATTTTCAGTGGTCAATATGCCCATCTTTTTAGGGCCCAGAGTACAGCCCAGCCACCACACTTATGGGCTGTAGCCAGTCCAGTATTTCACATATGGACAATGTGGATGGGCCTTGTTGACAGTGACTTGCTTTTACTCGGTTAGCTGTTGGGGTGCCGATGCACATTGGATCATATTCCGCCAGCAAACATCCCTCTCCGTTTTAAGATAGAAATGGACAAGTTTCTTATGTTTGTGATTTGGTGTATCATTTTTCTGAAGCAAAGTTGTGAGTATTAACTTCAGAATATGGAGGTTTATCATATGATTTTACATCCTATTGATGTTTGTTTAATTTATTGATTAAAGTTATGCAATGAGTGGCAGTCTTCTCTCCATTTTCTTACTGAACTCACTCATCTATATGCTAAAATCCAAATTGGGAAAACCCCAACTTCTTGACATAACAAATATCAGCAGGGTCCTGGCTAGTGGCACTCCTCTGATCATCCTGCAAATTTACCTTTTGCTTCCTTCTCGAGGTTACTTGATCTGCAATTCTGGAATTATAGTTATTCTGGTTTGCTTCATATATATGCGGTTAAATAACTCACTTTGTCTTCTATTCCCTTTTGCCTTGCTAAAAGAATGCATCTTTTTGATAACATAAGCCCACAACACCAGTTGCAGTCCAAACAAAATGGCACAAATAATAAAATTGTGAAAATTATATGTTACGGATTGTGATTCCTCATCTCACATCATATGTAAATATGATATCAGTATTAGTAACTTAAATTTAAGCAAACTTTAGAAAATCACATGATTCAAGCTTGAAACAAAAGAATTCGGCTAACACCATTGGGTATCTTGCCCCCCACAATCCATCTCTTGCAAATAGTCACTAAGCTAATTGGATTTGCGACCAAAGCATCCTCAATTATACTATCGAAGCTTAAATTATTGATCAAGTGGATAAAAGTAATCCTAGGATGTCAAGAAGGCTAACCATATATACTTTATCCTGGCCGTGGCGTGATCATGGAGATATACCCATATAAGCTCTGGCCCAGAATACTGATCTTATAAGTAATCAAAAGGGGATACCTGAACACCACTATTCCAGGAAGCTTCTTGCAACAAATCTAAAACCTCTGAAGATTCTCACTCCAATGGATAAATTTTGAATCCAGACATAAAAATCAACCGAATTAATCCATTACAGAACTTCTTGTAACATCCGCTCATGGACAAAAAATGTACTTGAGAGTGCTAAGGGAAGTTCAATTATGAAAACAGATTTGCCCGTTGGGATTGATTATTGGGTCACATCAAATTTGCTCAGAAAAGAACAAGCAATGCACAATTGTCTACACATTGAGTGTTGAAGGCGAAGTTTCCTTTCCACCGAAGTGCATGTGATAGCTTGATTCGCTAATCTTCACTTTTCCTAGTCATCAAACCCTTTGTCTCTTCTTCCTAAAGCAAAACACCTCCTTTATAATCATCTTTTTCATTTTTTTTCCATCTCCATCTCCATCTCCACCTCCACTCCTTATATTCATTATAGATCAGATTACCACCAACTAATATACGTTGAGGGTTCTGGTGTTGCTGAGAGCAAGAGAAAGGGAGAGGAGGAAAGATGTCTGATTGGGGGCCGGTATTCGTGGCAGTGGTGTTGTTCATACTGCTAACACCGGGGCTGCTGATTCAGGTTCCAGGAAAATCCCGGTTCATAGAGTTTGGCAACTTTCAGACCAGTGGTTTATCCATCCTGGTGCATTCTATAATTTACTTTGCACTCATCTGTATCTTCCTCTTAGCTGTCGGTGTGCACATGTATGTTGGTTCATAGCTGACAAAGCAAGAACCCATTATTTTTAGACACTAAGTTTGTGGATTGGTATGTAATTCAATTTCTGTCGTTTTCATCTGTGTCTTTTTTGAAACAAAGTTCCTATACAGTTATTTTTGTTGGTCATTTAGTTTTTTACTTCACATTTACCGTCCAAATTTGAGAATAAATGTTTTGATTCTGGTGAGTGGATCCACTTGTTTCTTACTCATGGTTACCTGATTCCTTTTAGCCTTATCTTATTCTATATCTACTAAACTAATCTACAGCTAACTTAGTAACCAGATGAACATTCAACAATCATTGGCTAATGGCTTGAGAAGTGGGGCTGGAGTCGTTAGACCTCATTTTTTGCCCCTTTGTATGAATTAATTGGCTGATTTGACGTGAGAAAGCCCAATGAAAATGGTAGGTTTATATAGCTTTCCTCTTTCCTAGTTCAAATGATTACTGTGCTCAAAACAGGGCATTTCCCTGTAATTGCTTAGGTTCTTTAAGATTAAGCAAAGAATTCTGAAGCTCATGTTCAAATTGACAGGTTTCTATGTTATCAAAATTTTTGCATACCCTTTCTAGTTATGATTTGTTTATGGTGGAAGCTAGCAAATGGTGATACCGATATGTATTTCTATCAGTAATTTCATGTATAAGCTCCAAATTTAGGCTTCAGGTGGATCATCAGTTATGTTGACAATCTCACCTTTTGATGCTTGATCAGCAGTTCATGGAATATCAGAATCTGAAACTAGGCTTTGATGCATTTATAGACAAATAAAATGATTGTAGAGTAAAAACATGCATAAATGGCTATTTGTCAGTTTAACATGCAATAGTGGAAGCCGTATGGTGCCAGAGAAATGAACTGAAGCTGTTAATTTTATCACCGGCTCCTGGTTATCTCCTGTCATTCTTAGCAAGTTCAGAATGAAAGAAATGTTGTTAACAGAGAACATCTGCTCAGATAACTGCACTGATCATAGCAAAGTGTTTCATTTCTTCTTAAAAATTCACTACTTCCAACAAAACTACAAAAGCTAACGAACCCTACCGATTTCTTTTGTTTCATCGGTGACTGCAAGATTTTCATGGGATCATACAGGAAATTAGAACTAAGAAACAAGACACTACAAAATGAAAATCTGATCCTGTCAAGTAGAGAGAGTGCCTGGCACAGCTTCTTGAGCCACCCTTTTGTTCTTAGACATAGAGGTGGATATGAAGAACGACAAGAAACAGGATCAGGAACAAAGCATAGAGAACTGCATGCACAAATATGGCTGCCACACTGGTCTTCATGTTCATAAAATCAATGGGTTGATTCTTCCCAGGGATTTGCAGGACTAACCCTGGTGACAGAAATGCAAACAACGCTGCAGCTATGAGGGGAGCAGCCCAATCATTCATTCTATATGGCTTTCAAAAATGTCCCCAACCTTCTGTTTATGCAGCTCCTTGGGACTCAAACCTCCGAAGTTAATAGAAAAAGGAGGAATCAAGCAGGCTTTGGATGCTTATTTCATGGTTTCTTCAAGTCACTTATGGAGAGAATAGGAATCCCACAAAGCTAAAAACAAGAACTCTCAATTATTCCACTTTATGCTTTTAATCTTTTAAAATCTCTTGCTTTTGTTGGATAAGGCAAGGCATAATTGTCCTGTTGATGTCAATCCCACAGGCCCTCCACAATCAACTGCAGTGCACCATGTATCTGTTGGTGCTTGATGCTCCAGGATCACCGTCCATTTCAGGATTAGTGTTTGATAACACTACAAGCTTTTACAAAAGAAGGTGAGAGGTACTGGACTAGCCAATCAATTCACAGAAATGGCCTGAGAGAACCTAAGATACACACTACTTTTTCCATTGCTCCTTTTTATCTTCTTCCTTTTCATGCCTTTGATTATAAAAATTTGAGGCTTTGACAAGAAACAACCTACTCCCATCCCATCCCCATTTCCTGCAGAAAAGTGAGAAACAATTTATAAATATATTCCAAGCATATCACTCTATTGCTCCTATTGATTTCAATGGTCGAAATGTTTTGATTTTTTTTGTTATAATAACATGGGAAGCATTCTTCAAAAAATTAGTTAACTATCTACATATTCTTTTATGTTATATGCTTCTTTATTTTAAAATATCTAAAAATGCAAAGTACATAAAAACCCTCCTTACATAGAGGTGGCAATCGGATTCGGAAGGGAACAAGCCATCTCGAGTTAGATTATTTCAAGTTCGAATGTTCTGAGTTCAGATTAAATTAAAACTAATAATTAATCTTTTTTATTTTTTATTTTATTTTCCAATTATTATAATTTTAAATCAAATCAATCATGAGTTCTAGTTATTTTGAATTTAAATCATTTTAAAATCAAATTTTTTCGGGTATAAATTATCTCATATTCAAATCATTTTAAATTTGAATTTGTTTTTGTCAATAATTTATTTTACCGCCTCATTATCCCCCCTAATCCTAATCTCATTTGCACTAATCAAACTTGGACAAATTTAATCTAAAAGTCAGAGTTAGATCACTCGGAGCAAGGAGCCAAGCACTTATCCCGGACACGAACAAAGCCCTGGCCCCATGCCCATATGCAACTCTCTTGTCTTTCTTGTGCTCACAAATGGCCCCACTTCCCAACTGTCCCTTTCAACCTTAAAAGTCTCCTTAACTTAACCCATCTTCTTCGCTTCCATCCCATCTTCTTCTTCCACAGTTTAGGCTTACCCAGAACAATCTAGTAGTAGTAATTTCACTTTTCTCTGGGAAGAAAAAAGGAACTTTTTTAACTCAGGTCTAGTTAAGTTCAGTTAAGTCAGGAAAATTTCTTGTAATGGCGGATTGGGCTCCTGTACTTGTTGGGGTGGTGCTATTTGTGTTGTTATCGCCAGGACTTCTGTTTTCGTTTCCAGGGAACAGCAAGCAGCTGGAGTTTGGGAGCATGAAAACTAATGGCAAGGCCATTGCTATCCACACTCTTCTCTTCTTTGCCATCTATGCTGTTTTGATCCTGGCTGTCCATCTCCATATCTACACCGGCTGAGCCTGGTGGCACTTCTCTGTCGGTGAGAGTCTTGTTTTCGGTGTCTCTATTCAAGATCTATGTTGGGTTTTATATGGTTAGACTTTGTATTACCTTGATTTTTTTTCCTTGGACCAATGAAGTTTGTGGCACAGATCTTTATCTGGCAAAGTTGACCTTTTTTGTCAGAAAAATACAATCTTTTTTCCTCACTTTCAAGAGAAGGGCTTTAAGTTCTTTGTCCAATTTTTTAACCTTGACCATCTGAATTAATTAAACCCTGGGGATTTGTCACTGTTGCTATTGCATTCGAAAATATTTGCTGGTAATTTGTCAGATTATGTTTAGCTATTGCTTCATTTAGCTTGGATGCTGGAATATAGAGCTCTTCTGTTATTGGGAAAAGCTATTTTTTTTTTATTTAGCTTGGACGCTGGAATGCATAGCTCTTCTAGTATTTGGAAAGCTATCAGTAATTATAAGAAAAAACCTGGCGGATTTTAAGGTCATAGGGGTAATCTGGCTTCTGAATCTATTCTTGGTTTTGCAAGTGATGTCTTTGTCAACACTGTCAAAGGCTATCTCATAGAACTAACTAATACAGCATTTTCATTTGGCTAGAATCAGTAAAGAAGCTCATAGAAATAGAGTAGATGCTGAAAGTTTTATGGGATTAGAGGGCAGAGTGGAAGATCTAGCTCATATGACCATCATCCATCAGTCAATCTTCTTTAAAATGGTCTTTCATAGTGCCTTAAAGAGTAAGATTAGCCCAAGTGATTAAATTTCATAAAAAATCAGACCATCTTCTCAAGAAATAGCTTCATTATTGTACAATTCAATATCTCTCTTGCAAACAACAAATGAACAAAGTAGTAACAAAAGAAAACAAATAAAGGAAAAAGGAAATTAGATTGGCAATAGGTAAGAAGGTATATGAAACATGAGCTCCATCTAAGGAAAACAAATGAAGAGCCAAAGGAAAAGAAAAAGGCTACCCTTTTCTGGGGAGTTTGGATCAGTTAACATGTATGTGAATACCAATTGCAATGATCAAGATGGTGATTATGCAGAAGTATATTACAGCATGAACCAGGATGGCTATCCCACTTGTGCACATGTTACCAAACTCGATCACTCTAGTCCTCGATGGCAGCTGGAACAGCAACCCCGGTGACAAAAGGATGAATAAAACCACTGCAACAATGACCGGTCCCCAATCTGCACTCATTTCGCTCTATCGTTCTTTCCCCCTTTCTTTCTCTAATTCACTCTTGAAGCCAAGGTTTTGAATGTTTGAGAACTTCTCTTCCAGAACAAATTGGAAAGTGAAGAGGTGTACATTCTATTATGTAGGCGAAATGGAACTAATTTTCTTGGTGGCGAAGCAGGGGGGTGATGCTAAACTTAGTGAGAAAGATGAGAATTGAGTTTAAAGGGGAGGTAAGGTATGTACATGTTAGTGGGTTTGCTTTATGGAGAACGAAACAATCTCCTTTTCTTCCATTAGCGTCTAATAATTGTTTCATTTGGAGAATTCTTTTAGCTTGCTTTATTGCTTTATTAAAGATACAATAAAAGAAATAAATGGAAAAGCAGCGGCATGTGTAAAGTTGAGCTCTTTGCTTGGAAATCTTGTTTGCTTGTGACTTAATGTAACATCTAAAAAGGTGTATAGGGTGTGCCAGGTTAATGCGTGTTAAGCAATTTCAAGGCTAAGAAAACTGATGCAGGGAGACAATTTGGTAAAGGACAATTAAGGACAAACTGCTAAGGGCATCCTTCTTGATTCTTGACTCAGTTATTTCTTTTATCTTTCATCTAACTGATGAAATTGAATGATTCTGACACACACGATTCTTTCTGGTACTTCTCTTAATGAAACACAGGTAGAGACTGAATTACTTGGAGTTGTTGTCAAATGAAAATGATACTTAATATCTATCAGCAAGCCCAAACTTACAGATAGATGCTAAACATAACCAGCACCTGGTGATTGAGGACACCCTCCACATTTATTTATATATTTATTGTTTTTGAAAAGCCCCTCCACATTTATTTAAAGGGGTACAAGTATTGATTGAGGATCTTGCCAAAGATCATACAGCCGGACAGAATTACTAATGATTGGGAAGAACATTACCAAATTTGAAAAGGCTAGTGGTATGCTCTGCAAGATAAAGTGAAACTTTGAAAATGAGAGAGAAAATACTGAAAAGACGAAGAATCCTGTATCGGAAAAGCACTTCTAGCCAGTATGACCTAAAGAGGCCACGACTGTCTGTAAATAAAGCTTGTACAATGTTATTTGTAGACTTACATGGGGCCAAGAAGCATGAAAAATCAGAAGTTTCAAACCAATTACTTCAGATATAATTCCAGTCCTCATTCTTATCTGTGTTAAAGTTGCAGATAGCGCCTAGCAGCCTTGGCCCTCAGCTAGAGGAGAAATGTTTTTTTATTTTTTGCAAAAAAGAAAAAGAAAAAAAAATGCTTCTGTGCATTTGGACTAGGCCATGGCCCATGGGAAACAACTAGACCAAGCTTAAGCAAGTATTTCTTCACTAATATTTTATTTGACACCTTCATAGTGAATCTGATATAATGTTCCATTGGAATTTTTCTCTGTTGTAAATTGTAATTGAGTAATTCTCCAAAACATATCTTTAAACTGTTACTTTTACCAGATAAACTATTTCACTATGTTTCCTTTTATATTTGTGATAAGGCTAGCTTATCTTTCCACTATGATAATGCAAGAACTATTGGTAATTATAAGCACTTTTTGCCTCAACCAAAAAGGAAAAGAACCAAGAAGTCTGCAGAGGAATTCAAGTTATAGTCCAATTCAAATGTACAAGGGATTTGGATCATCTCCCGTACATTCAATATTCCCAACAGTTTTCTTATTTTAATTCGTTATGTTTTCCCCTCTTAACAAAACCGTTCCGTTAAAATAAGAGAGAGATGGTTAACCGTTCCTTGTGGTGTATTTTGGATATGTTTAGCTGCTTGGAAGCTTGGAGAAATCATACATTTCAAAGAAGGAAATGACAATGCAATACTAGTAGAAATCACTTCAGCTATTGGTCATGTGGCCGATGGCCATTTTGATGGTGTGATCACTGTTACAACTTGCATGTATTTGATGGTTCTTGTCAAGAAAAGGCTAAGGGTTGCACCAGAACTGGCTTCTTCACCGGTAGCTCAGCCAGTAGAGGCGCCAGAGGTCTAGGCAAGAGTTAATTATCAAGATTAACTAGACTGGATCATGATCATTTTCCAGTTTGGCAATGTGATTCTGCTGTTGGTTTTGTGAAATGTGGTAAAGGATGAAGGCTTTGGTTGTCATTTTTCCCTCCGCTTATCTCTAACTTACCTGTGATTTGTTCAAATCTCGATTTAATTTTTTTTTTTTTGTTATTGCGTGATTAGTGTAGCAACCCATCTTATATCTGATGTTGAAGTAATTGTTAAAACTTATACAATAGTCTAAGCTAATCACTATTAGAAATGGCAAGAGCAGGTCTTTCACATAATTTACCTGTAACTTTTTTATCTCCCAAATCAAAACTTGCAGGCTTGGGGTTATAAGAAAATTGTCACCAAGTTACAAAATTAGCTATTTAGTTAGCAGGGTCAAACAATGAGATTTTGGGGAGCCAAAATAGAGATTTCGGCTCTCAGATTATGAAAAAACATACCTGTTTTACCTTGATCCTCGGAGACTAAACCCCTGCCTGCCAACACCCTTAGCTTCGCCTCCACCGTTACGTTTGCAGAAAATGTAAAATAAAATAAGGGAAAAAGTTAGGAGAAGTTCTTTACATGAATTTTGTTTGGTTTTTTCTAAATAGTCATGCAGTGTCTTGGAAATTGTTTATTCAGCATTAACTAGGTTTGATTTTCAAAATTAATGAAGTTTAGTTTCATAACCACCAGAGAGCTGGTCATCAATTGTGGATACAGGGTCTAGAGGGAACAGAGTCATTGTCCTGAAAGATGGACAAGTCCACGTCTGAGATTCTTTTTCCCTGGAGTGCAACAGCTCTGCTAATCCTCCCGGCCATCTGGAGTCTGTCTTGCATTTGCTTTCGTAATTCTAACAAATTGTATCTTGAAACACAATCTTTTACATTGTAGTTTTCTTGTTCAAAAGTACTACCCGGATTCTATAACCCATGTCAGGTTTTGTTTTCACAAAGGCTGACGGATTAGCAGATGGAAGAGTCATGCTTGCAACATTTGCTATATATTTTGCAATTTTTGCTGCTTGGAGGCTTGGGAAGATCCTACTTTTGATTGCAAGATCATCGCACATAAAGGGAGCCCAGGAAAAAGCAAATGACATAAGATATCAGATTGGTTACGATGCTGTCATGGCAGTTACTTTCCTCATTGGCATCGTTGTGTGTTACATGATTTTTATTTTCAGGGTTGTACTACCAACCGTAAGAAGAGGGTTGTACCAGATTAAGCTTCTTCTCTACCAGTAGGGCAGCCAGTATCCAGGTCTTAGGCAGAAACTAGAATCACTTTTTCTCTTATCTGATCATTGACAATATGTAGAAAGGGAGATAAACCCAACTCCTTAAAGCACGAGTTGAGAAAAAGCTTTGATTTCTGCTAATACATTCAAACAAAAACACATTAAGTAAACCAAATAAGTTAAAACAACAAGATTTTTCAAGAGCACATTGACTTTTATATCTTTGGAGTGTGCTCATTCAAGCAACAGCCGTCCAAACAAGGACATGATGCCATACTAGGCCGTCCAGGGTTTGTTGCTTTCAACGTAACGTCGAACCCAAGGTCCCTCTTCCGGTCATGAACCTTTTCTTTGTCTCCTGATTTTCTGTTTGTCCTTTTTTCATCCACTTTTGTCTTTCTCCAGCCCTCTGTCTCTGCTTCCTCCTTTTTATTGCTGCTCAGTGAGCCTTCTCATCTAAAAATCTGCATATAAACCGACTCTCATACATTCTTCTACCCCTTCCAATATATATCTCAGAAGCAAGAGTCTGTGGGAAACAAAGGGAGAGGATGTCGGGCGATTGGGGGCCAGTAGTGGTGGCAGTGGTGCTGTTTGTGGTGTGTTCACCAGGGTTGCTGTGTCAGCTGCCTGGAAACAAAAGAGCAGTAGAATTCGCAAACTTTCAGACGAGTCCGATCTCCATTTTTGTTCACACGATCATATTCTTTGGCCTAGTCACCATCTTTGTGATAGCTATTGGCATTCACATCTATTCAGGGTAGCATAGACAACCCTTTCTGTGCTCCATTTCTTGTTGCTTGTTCCATTTAGAAGTAGAGAAGTTTCAGATAAAAATTCTCTACTTTTCTAGCAAGAAGACAGCTACCTCACTATGGATGGCTGTTAATCTTTAAAATCTCCCATCTTTCTTCTTCCCAGAGGAATCAAACAACGTTTGCATTACTGTTACTACCAATCGAGTTTCTTTCATTCCTATGAGAAGATCCTTAATGATTATATATGGTTATGTATATGATTTTGTATTGACTATCTCATTAATGGTGAATGGGTGAAATGGTAATATATTTGAGCCAATTTTCAAACTTTATGCAGTTTCTACTTTTCCTGATAGATGCCATTGGTAGAAGAAAGAACCAGGTTGTTTTACTGTTTGGTAGCAGAAAATTTCTGATCACAGCCCACTCTCCAGGTTTTTACATTGAACCAAAACCTAAAATTATGGTTCCTCAACAACCTTAATTTGTCCAATTAAGTAATTGATAACAATTTGCTTCAACCAATTTCCAGCACAAAGCAGGGATTGTTACAAAACCAGTAAAGAAAGGCCTATAGCAGAACTGCCCTCAGAAATTAGTGTTTTAGACTTTTAGTTACCATATCTCAAGTCTAATAGATAAATGAAAGCATCTTGTGTTTATAAGTATGGAAGTTGCATATCTCATTAAATTGAGCTTATGAAAAAAAGTAATGATCTCATTATATAAACAAGTTTTAAATGTTCAGAGAAGAGGCAAAATGGCAAGCATTAACAAATAAAAAGGATGAATTTATGAGATTAAAAACCGCTACGTTGATTCTGGGATTTTGAATTGGAGAAAGACGTGCTTATTAAATTTTAAATTTTTGTGTTTTTTCTGTACAACATAGGTCTTTGGTGTAAAGGTAGAGAGCTTTCTTTTGTTTATTAGCTCAAGGCTAGGAAAGGAAATTGCAAAGAACACTATGAAGCGATTTCCCTTTGGTATAGTATAGATTTTTCTCCTTGCACAAGCTGATATCTTATGCCAGTTGACTGCCTTCTTTTGTTTTTGGTTTTTATTTAATTTGTGGGCGGGAGATATCTAAGTTGTGTAAAAGCATGACGGCAGCTTCGCCACGTCATCTCGACTTCTTTCACTTGTTTCCATGGAGAAACCGACAAATGTATCTGTCGTGAGGTAATTGTTTCATCTGTTTTTCCAATTCCATAATGATGATGTGATGCCCTCTTGCGACAAGACAGAAATCTCCATGTTCTATGTCATTATATCTAGTTTTAGGGTTTAGGAATGTTTGGCCGGTTTTAAGAATACACTATCATGTCAAGAGTAAGGTCACGTCTTCAGTAGAATAGTTATTTCATTTCAACTTTACATTGGTTCATTCATGTATGCACTAGAGAATCACATCCAGGGGGCGCTTGTTCCTTAAACTCCATGAATCATGCACTAAGGAATAGATCAATAATCTTTTTGAATAAAAATATCCTTGATAATTTTGTAAAATATTTTATATTTTAACAAAACTTTTGTTTAATTCTCTTTTTTTAAAGTAAATCGTAATTACCAATTGACCAGATATATAAATATATCGTTTTTGTTTCTCAATTGTTTTCAATGACTACGTCTGACTGTAAGAAGAGTCATATTTATGTTTCAATGACGAGTAAGAGGATTCGTTAAGAAAAAACATGGATTGGACCTAATGGTGAAAGGATGATTATAATTTTATTCAACCATCTTAGCTTAGCCGGTAAAGCATATGATTTTTAACCTTGTGGTCGTGCGTTTGATCCCCACAAACGGCTAGATGTATAATCTTTTATTTGTATAATTTGGGTAGAAGTGGTCAAATTTTTTTATTTTGATATTAATTATTTAGGAATGACACTCTATTTGACTATTTAGATCAATTTTTTGTATCCCAAATTTATAATTGCATCAACTAGAAAATAATTATTAATAATTTTTTTAAATATAGTATATAGATATAAATATTATCAATATTGTTAAAATACATTTCAAAAATATATAATACATTTAATATTTTTAAAATATATGTTAAAGATATTATCATTCAAGTCGAAAGAATCTACCAAATTGATTGAGAAAAATTTATTTTTGTTATTTTTTAATTTTTATTTATAATTCATTTGATTTCATTTTTTTTATCAAAATTCGATTAATTCAATTTTTAAAATATTTTCAAAATGGAACTGATGTCGGGGCATTATAAAAACACTTGGGAGTTGTAAAAGACACAAATCATGACAAGGTTAGAAACCCCACAGAGTTGAATTTTCAATCTTGACAAAGTTGAAAAACCCACTGAGGTAAAAAAACAATCAAAATCCTACTTTGATTGGTTAGGCCAAAAATACTAAAAACCTCTTACTCTTTTGAAAAAGCCTAGAGAAAATAAGCAATCCTGCTTGAGAAAATATTCTTTATTAATTTTCAACTTCAACGTCTCATAACTAAGCCTAAGGGTCCTATTTATATTATTATAGCCCACATTCTAATAAAACTCTACTTTATGTTGTCTAATACAACTAGAGTAGTTAACAAAAGATTTAAATAAATGAAGTGTTATATTCCTAAATAGAACATAACTAGCTTAAAGTCCTAATACAAGTAAATGAAATAAAAAAAATTCTATTATACCTTAATTCTTAAATAATAATATTCTAATAATATACTCAAATATCATTCTCTCTAAATTGGAGAAAATTTATCTTCAAGATCCATGTTTTCTTTATGTTCTTCATAGTAAGGAGAGAGATCAGCTACATTGAAAGTTGCAGAAACTTCATAATCTCCAAGAAGTTCAATCTCCTAAGCATTCTCATTAATATGTTCCAAAACTCATAATGGTCCATTAGCTCGAGAAGATAATTTTGCACGAGACTTAGAAAAATGTCCTTTCTTTAAGTGAATCTACATTAAGTCTCCTTTTTTGAAACTAGTTGGCTTTTTATGCTTGTTGGCTTGCTTTTGGTATAGTTCAATCCACATTAAGTCCTTGTAAGACAAGACATGGCAGAAGCATGAGAGACCAATCAGTTCTAAAGATAAAATCCTTAAAAAAGAAAAAGAACAAATATTTCATATGGTCAAAAAGTGAAAACATAAACTTCAAAAGAGACCCTTGACATAATCAATAAAATTTTAGAAGAAACTTAGGTACTTGAAATTATTGAAAATGAAGAGATCTTGATAAATTATATCATTATAGGAAAAGATGGAATTGAAATTAAATAAATGTTGATGATATTTTTGTATAGCACTTAATATTATGAAAGAAAATAAGGATTTTGAACTTATATTTGTTGAAGAATGTAGATATAGAAATGATGACCAATGTGAAAAGATGCTATCAAGGTAGAATTGAATTTTCTTGCAAACACGAAGTTTTTGGACTTATAGTCTAGACACAAAATGGTGTAAAACTAGTGGGATATAAATGGTATTTATGTGAAAAAAAAATAAGAAAAATGATATTATGAGATATAAAGCATGACTTGTCGCACAAAAGGTTTTATCCAAGTACATGATATTGATTATAAAGAGACATATTCTCTTGTGATAGATGCAATTACAATTCTATATTAATTAGTTTAGCAATACATAAAAAGATTGAAATCCGTCTAATGAATGTAGCTACAACTTATTTATATGTCTCACTTGATAATGATACTTCTATAAAAATCCTTAAAAGATTTAAGTTGCTTGAAGCACAAAATTTGAATTCTCAGAAAATTTATTCAATTCAATTAAATAAATCTTTATATGGATTAAAATAATTTGAACACATGTGGTATAATCGCCTCACTAAATATTTGTTGAAAAAAGTCAATTAAAATGATCTTATATGCCCATGTGTTTTTATAAAAAGATTCAAATATGAATTTGTGATAATTGTTGTTTATGTTGATGACTTGAATGTTATTAGAACTTTTAAACAGTTATCAAAAGCCGTGAATTACTTAAAGAATGAATTTGAAATGATAGATTTTAAAAAAATAAATTTTTGTTTGAGTCTTCAGATTGAATACTTGACAAATAAAAATTTTTGTTCATCAATCAAATTATATAGAAAAAATACTAAAGTAATTTTATATGGACAAAGTACATCCATTGAATTCACTAACGGTCGCAAGGTCATTAGATATGAAAAAAGACCCTTTCTAACCTCATAAGGATGATGAACTTTTTAATCATAAAGTACCATATCTTAGTGCAAATGGACCAGTACTCTATTTTGTTAGTAATACAAGACCTAATATATTATTTATTGTAAATTTATTTGCAAGATATAGTTCTTTTTCAACTTGAAGACATTGACATGGAATTAAACATATACTTTGATATTTTCAAAGAATAATGAACATGTGCTTATATTACTCGAATGTATTAAAATCAAATTTAATTGGTTTATGCAGATACAGGATATTTATCTGATCCACACAAAGATCGATAATAGACAAGTTACTTATTCACATATAGAGGTACGACTATTTCATGACATTCTATAAAACAAACTATAGTTGCTACTTCTATTAACCATGTAAAATTTTTAGCAATTCATAAAGCAAGTGGTGAACATGTTTGGTTAATATTTGTAACTCAATATGTCTATGAAATGTGTAGCTTGTCAATCGAGAAGGAAATTCTAACAATATTATATGAGGATAGTATTGCTTTTATATCACAATTAAGGAAGGATACATTAAAGGCTATAGAACGAAACATATTTCGTCAAAATTCTTCTTTACTCATGATTTTCAAGAAAAGGATGATATTAGTGTTCAACAAATGTGTTCAAGTGACAATATAGCATATTTATTCACAAAAACCCTTCCTACTGCAACATTTGAAAAATTGATACAAAATATTGGAATGCGATTTTTTAAATATCTTAAATAACGCAGTAATCAAAGAGAGTAAAATATGGATTGTACTCTTTCTTTTCATCAAGGTTTTTATCATTGAGTTTTTCTTGATAAGGTTTTTCATGAGACAATATTTCAAAGGTGTATTTTTGAAAAAAAATTATGTATTCTTTTTCCTTCACTCAGATTTTTCTTTCATGAGATTTTTTCTTAGAAAGATTTTAACAAAGCATATTCTTAATATAATGGATATTTAAGAGGGAATGTTATGAATATATATGTGAATGTTCATTATGTTATGATCTAAGAAGTTCAAACTAAGTCAAACAACTCAACAGACTAAATAAAATATGTCTAATTTGGTTTGAACCCTTAGATTGAATTAGATTAAAGTTAGGGTTCAAAGGGTTGTTAGCTTATAAATAAGCTCTTCACCTTTTTTGTAAGGATACATTGAAATAAGATCTTCTTACTCTCCTTAAGTACTTTCTCTAATAGTTTTTCTTTCAAGTAATATTTCATAACAAAATTTTCATTTTTAATTATTTTCTTTTTCTCTCTACCTCATCTACCTTTCTCCTTCTTTCTCTTAATTTACTCCATTGTGGGAGGATGGCGGAAGGTGATAGTGTTGGAATGATGCCTCCATGACTAGATTCGAACATGGAGAAGCCTCAAATTTGAAGTTACGTTGCATTGGCCATGTATTCAGTGGCCAATCAACAAAGAAGAAAGAAAAGAAGAAAACGAGAAAAAAATTAAAATGAAACTAAAATATTATATTATATTTTTTAAATTATAAATTACAAAAATAATATTTCAAATTAAAAAATTAAACTAAAATTTTAGTTATAAATTATTAATATTTTAAATAAATTATAAATTTTAAATATTTGAATACTTTAAAATGAAACTAGAGAAAAATAAAATAAAATAATCATATTAAAGTTTTAATTAAAATATATTAATATTTTTAATAAATTATCTGAAAATAAAAATTTAAAATTTAAAATCATAAATTATAAAGATTATTTTATCTTTTTATCATACAGTCTTTTATTATTCCAAAATTCTTTTTACCAACAAAAGATTAGAATAATATAAGAATAATAATTTTATTCCATGAACCAAATTAGATAATAGGTATTTTTACCTTATTCTATTTTTACAGAATAACTATTACGTTGCCCCTTTATTTCATTCTGAGAACCAAATGTACCATAAATGAAAGATAAACATATCTTATTTATTTATTTCTCTATTTACTTTTTTTTGTCTTCTTTTATTTTACACAAGATTCTTTTAAACTACAATATTACAAGATTTAGTTAGTGGTGGCATGTGAAAAAAAATATCTTTAATTACTATCAACTTGAATTTAATTGAGTTATTTACTAATTCAATGACATATTTAATAGTTTAAACTTATTTTCAAATCAATTATACATTAATTTTGAGATGAATGAAACTAATTATCATTAATTTGGAAAAAAGGTTTATTGATAAAGAAATTGATTAAAATAAAAACATAATGAAAAAAGGAGGAAAAAAAGGAAAAAAATAAATAAAATGAGAGTATTTTTAATATCTAAAGTAAACTTTCAAAATATTAATTTGACCGATAGAATTTTGATGTCAATTACATTTTCAAGAAAAATAGGGAGTGTTTTTCAAACTAATGAGGGTAAGTTTATTTTCAATAAAGCCTCATGCATGACAATTATTTTTCCTAATTGTATTGGATAATTTATTTAAACTATTTTGGAATTAAATATTTAACCTAATTATAAATTTGATAGTAATTAAAGATGATTTAAAAATAATTAAAATTTCCAGTTGTATTGTAATTAATTAAATCTGATAATTTTTCTAAAAATAAAAAGTCTTAAACAAAAGAAAGAAAAAGAAAAGAGATAAAAAAAGAAAGCAAAAAAAAAAAGAAATGAGAAATATACTTGTCTTCTCTGCTAAAATTATTTTGATAATTAATACCATTACTTTTTCAGAGAATTCACGTATTTTCAACCAAATTGTAAGAAGATAAAAGGGTATTTTTCAACCTAATGGGTGCAAAATTATTTTCAAACAAATTTAAGGAGTCTTTATATTTTTATCAATTCTTTTTTATCACAAAAGAAAAAAAAAGAAGAAAATCCAAAAACTGTATAATACTAGTTTTTTTTTCCTCCTTTTCAAGTTTAAACTTACATCTGTTAATGTCGTATATAGGATAGTGATTAATTCTAATGAATCATGATTATAAATTTTTTATTGAAATTTTCCTCTAAGAGAAGGAATCAGTCATTATTTTATAGATAACTTAAGTTTTGATAAGCTGTTTATAGAGAAGAAACAGCATGCAAAATCAAGAAAAAAAAAAACTAAATTGTTGGCTTTTGTCATTCATATATATTCTGATCAAAAGTGGATTCTGCATGACAAACAGGACAAAAATTAAATTACTTTCACTTGAATTACAAACTCAAGCACACGCAGAAGCTGAAAAGCGCCTCAACCTAAGACATGGACTCTGCTTAATTATCCATAAAAACAATTACAGATCCAATTAACACCTTCAAATTCTATGAACAAATGATAATCTTGTGGGGTTTTTATGGCAAGGAATTTTTATTATTGGATCTAATTGTACTAAGAGGGTAAGCAAAGGTATCCATTGGTCTCCCCTAGTGAGTTTCCTGGAGCTTGATTCGTTCTGAGTTGTTTCGTTCAAGTTTGAAACGTTCTTGAACAGAAGAGATGTAACTTGCAGCCTTAATATCAACACTTTCATCGCCAGCAACGCAGAAGAAGTTGTCGATTTGGCTTAAGTTTTCGCGGTTTTTGTCAGTAGATACGATGAACGAGACCTGCTTTGGTTGGGAAACCATGTAGTCCTGGTGAACCCGGAAGCTGACAGAAGCTGTTGTAGAAGAAGTCTGGTTTGGCTTGACCTTGGTGGTGTATTGCATGGCTGCTGCTGCTGGCGGCTTGGCTGCTCGGAAGAATGGCGCCAGCTTCCCCTTGATGAAATCTCGGCGCTTGCGGTTGGACATGGACTCCATCTTGAACCAGCTGTCTCTGCTATTTGATTTGATATCAGATCAAATTAATCAGATGGTGAGTGCTGAGAGCGGTACCGGAAGACAAGAGAAGGGTGGCTTTATATAATAGTTGTTTGTGCACTGACAAGCAATTTCAGATAAACATGAAAATTCTTGATGGATTGTGGTCCCTCAACTAAATATCTAAGAGAATAATCTTCTTTAGGTACAAGATTATGCATAATTTTACCTATATTCCAATTATTTGTTAAACAGTTGTGATCGCTTTGTTGGATATGGAAATTTGTAAAAAGCAGATTATGCTTTCTGGGATATGAAGAACTCCTGACACTCTGTGTATATTTTATGCATGCCAAACTGCTAGCTTGCAACATATTTTTTATTATTAGGGGAATCAGCACCAAATGGCAAAGTGAATGCCTTTATCAGTTAGGCAAAAGCAGTGGATCCCAACCAAGCAGAATATGTTTCTTCTCTCTGACTGGCTCGTCATGACTTCCAGAGTTCATTTGCATCCAGCCAGTAGTTCTCCTTGGTTCAGCCCGAAAGGCACTAACATTGGCTATATGTTTGTAGAAGCAAGAAATTGGTGTCTTTCCTGGTTGAGGCTGCTACCTGACTCGGGCTTTTTAGCGCCAAAGGTACTGTAGTAGTATCACCCCATCCTCGACATGATTAACAGATTCATCAAATTATTCTCTTTTATGTGAAATGGACAGGTAAGTATTGTCGGACCAGTGAACATGAGCTGCCCTGATTGATATAGGATAGAAAAGCTTGCAGGCCATAGATCCTGTACATGCATTGCTGCTTTATTCTTTTGTTTTTCATTCCCTTTTCATTGCTTTTTTCCATATACTTGGATAAGTTGATATGTAAGATTGAAAATGCATTTTCAAGAAGATGAGAATGTATTGTTTCTGCTGTCCTTTTCTGAAATTCATGCAATAGTGCAAGGCATATTCAAAACACTTTAACATCTCTTTTTATTTTTTGGACAATTAAGTTAATTTATTTTATTTAATTAAATACTTTATTTATTTTTAGTGATAATTGTTAATTTTTATATAGGTGAAATCTAATGAGATGTGTTGATTAGATATAATAAAGATTATTGACGTGACATGTCATATTATCAATTTTTATTATATTTAGTCAACACATTATATTAGATTTCACGTATATAATAAATGACAACTATCATTAAAAATATATATTATCTGTTACATTGTTATTACGAGATGGATAAAAATAATGTCCTTCTCAATTCCTTCAACTCCATCATTTGGAACATTTTCTAAGAATATTAAGACAACTTTTTTCAACTTACACCCAAGTGCGAATTGTATGAGGTAAACATCATGGTCTGTATCTAGCCTAGGGTACTGTTCAAAATTAGCAACATTTTGTGATGGAAAGAATTGAAAAGAAAAGAAGAATCACTAGCAATTATCGATTAATTTGATTGCTACTAAAGAAATTGAAAGCAATAACTAGAATTATAATGCACATCACCCCTTGGATGGCATCCATAATTTCCTGTATGCTTAAGACATATTCGGGGTAATATCTGGCTCTGCTTTTTGCACGATAGAGCAAGCTCCGGTCAACGATACTACAGTGACCCTGCAACTTACTCGGACATGAACTAGACAATGATAAAGTTTCCATGTTTTTGTAAGTTCATGGATAAGATAATATTCTATTTTAACCTGATTGACAAGTCCCTCATAGCACCTAAACAAGTGGTCATTTCTGTTGGGACTTGGATTCTAATCTTTTCCAGGAATTTTTTCTATTAACTCAGCTTAATCCTGTCTAATGACCTTTAGTATGCATGCTTATGCCTCATTGATATGTATACATTTGATTTTTCTAGATGGTCAAATCCGGTTGTGAAAGCATCAAATATTTATTTGAAATAAAAGAAATTTGAACTTGAAATCTTTTTGTTTTTTCAATAAGAAAAAGAGTGATTAAGTATCCAAAATTACAAACTACAGGAGAGATATTTGCTCACCCTGGTTTGTACAACTATATTGTCCTTCAAATCTCCCATTTGCATTTTGAATTTTGATGTGTATAAAAGAGGAGAATATTTGCATGGACCAAAAGTGCATTTGCTTTTTATCCAACTTCTTTTTGGGGTTTGAAAGTTAAGAGTAGAAAATTTCTCTAGAATTATCACCAACAATAGTCTTGTTTTCCTATCAGGGTACTGCAAATTCAAAATTCTTTGCTTCTTGCTGGGTCTCAATCGGTTTAAAGATTCCTTTGGTCCTAAATGTTCCCATGATACTCACCTGGTTTGAATTTCTTTGTTTCTTTTTTTTTTTCTTCTTCTTCTTTGGATCAGTCGTGAGAAAGAAGAGATTGCAACATTTGGGGAAAGATTTTGGTGAAAGTGAGATGAGAATGCATGGATTGCCTCATCATTTATCTTCTTCGTTACTACCACATGTTCATCGGTGGCATACCCTCTCACCTTGTAGTAAGTTGTGCTATTATCAATAGCGATGGGTTAATACATTATCTAAAACAAAGAGTTCAATTCATGTCAGAATTCACTGGATTCAAACAAATATAGTTATTTCTAATGCAAACTTAGTTTCATTTGTTTATCAATATCATGATTGTCTTCTATGAATTATTTTGTCTATAAGAATCCTGATAAAAAAATCTCATTAAGTTGGGATATTCTAAATATAAATAAAATAAGAGTTTTTTATTTATTATCAATTAATTTTAAATTAGATGTCTGTCTTAAACATTCAATATAGTATTAGAGTAGACATTACCTTTCTCGTTATTGTCTTCTCTATGATAAGTTATCATATGATAAATCGTTAGCTTTATACGTTAGGGAGAATATTACAGTATTGGTGGTTAAAAAATTTCATATTTGTTAATCAAGTCTATTTTAAGTATTTAAATATGACAAGAGTCTCTTTACTTATTATTAATTGATTTTAAATCAAATGCACGTTTTAAAATCTGACAAATTTTCCCATATACCATATGCACTTGACTATTTTCCTAATGGAGTCTAACAAAAAATGCTTTTAAACAGATCTCATGAACCCAATAAATATTGAATGAGACCAACTCTCATGAACTCAAAAAATAGTGGATCAGACCAACACGACCCTTGTGGGCTCTTGTGGCCTCTTGACAACTTTCCCAAGGCAGGCTCACATGTGGAATCAATCCTCAAAACCTGCTAATCCTTCAAATTGGAGGAAGGTGGACAGGAAAGCCTGGACTAGTGCAGACCAAGGTCTCCATTATCCAACAGAAGATAGAGCTTATTTCAAAGGATTTTTCAACGCCTTTATTCTGCATGAGTTCCTGTTACCAACGTCTAAAACAAGCTTGTTTGCTCAGAAGTTGGGCCTATTGGAGGTTTGGCAAGAACTGTTTTTAACTTCCGTCAAAGTTGAAATAAGCTTTTGAAAGTTAAAGGATTTAATAGTATACATATTGAAGTTACTTAAAAATAGTTGCAATGAGAATTTTCAAATAGACAAGAACATTCTTTTTTATTTAAAATCATTTGAATTTCACTATACATTTTATGATGGGTTTATATTTGATATATTGTTAATATATAATATTGATATACGATCACTTAATTATTAAGTATTACCTTATAAATGTGTAAAATTAAAAAGTCAAGTCTTTCAAAATAAATCATTTTCAAATTATGAGTATTTATTTTTAAAAGTTTTTTACGTAAATTTATTTATTAACAAAGTGATAACATTTGATTTCCTGTTAATGTACTGTAATGTATGAACTACTTTAAAAAGAGCTATGAAGTTTTGTGGTGCAGGTTCATGATCAGGCTTCATTTATTTGATATGCATGTATCAGAAAATGAAGTAAAAATTGAGCAGACCATGCATATCATGTGTTTAGCTTGTTTTGAGCAGGCCCTTGCAAAAAAGCAGCTCTGACACAAGGAAGCAAACTATTTCCATCTAATTTTTAATGAAGAACCGCATTATAGCAAATCACAAAAGGAAAACAAGACAAAACAGTTAGGTTGGATTCTGTATCAACCTGACGATGGGTGAACCAATGGCTTTTTTCATATCTTTATGGCAAAGAAAAACAGGTAATAAGTTCACTGATACAATTTATTTTATTTTTTTTCTTCTTGGCAATGGCAAACATAAGCCATTCGAGAGAATTTACCCTTTGAATTTGCTGCTTCTGCTTAGCATGTAGAGTTGGAAACTAGAGATTTTTTCATCAGGTTTGTTACCCAAAACGATGGAGGAGATCTTGGAAGTGACTAAAAATGGCTGGTTGATTATACCGAAAAGACAAGCTAAATTTCTGCCTCGAAATTGCAAGGGTGAATAGCTTTTGTTCCTAACCCAAGATCATCAGCAATGATGATGCTTTGATGACGATAATTAGAAAGCAAATTAGTATAATATGAGGGTCCTCCAGCCCCGTTCTTTAGGCATATCTTTTAACAAATTAGGTGTAATAGAAGAAAATGAAACTTCTCTTTGCATCAATTACGATTTGGATCGAATTATGAAAATTCTTTACACAGCTCACTCCTTTCCTATATAAAGCAAAGATTTGAACATCCTAACCATTCTGCATTATAATGTGTCACCCAATTACCACTTTCTGACATATATATATATATATATATATATTCGGCTTCAATCCTCATCGATGGTGAGATTTGTGTTCTATCTGCATGGAGTCCACAACACTTCTTTTTCCAGGCACGACTGGATTTCTTAGTTGAAAATTTGATGTTGGCACGGTTCAATCGGATCAAATCTCTCAGTGGCTGAGTCCTTTAGTCTGATTGAGCCGTGCCAATATCACATTCAGTCACTTTATCGGCAACAACTCAGTTATTTTTGGGTCTAAAGCACCCATGATTTCTTTTTTTTTTTTCTTCCTCTCTTTAAATTTCCATTGAATTTTGCATAGACATCTTCATGTCATCAATCTGGTTATGTTAACATTTCTGTACTAGTTGTACTAGATACGAAAGCAAATCCATAACATGGGGTTCTGATATCTTTCTTTTTTCTGTCATATGGTCCTTTATCTTTCGGAAAGAAAAGAAGGATTCCGATGCCAAAGTCCCAGGGTCTCAACTGTTCTGATTCTGGCTGTTCCTGATCGTGGAATCGGGATTCGGACCATTTTCCTAGAAGGGTCGACGTCAACGGAGAACCAGACGAATCATAAGGAGACTCAATCCTCCACTGTTTTTATCTGATTGACAGATTCATTCTGATATTTGCTTCCAAGAATCACCATGGAACGAAAGGCACTGTTCTTTGTTTTTTCTCCTGAAGGTGACAAGGTCTTTTGGTGCGAACGAAGAATGTTGCTAGCTAGTAGTCCGTCTTGTATTTTTGTCCTAGAGATTCAATCAGAAAATATTAAATTGGATTTGACTGACAACCGCAATTACAATGAAAATGGTTTATTATTCTGGAGTGGAAGATGATTAGGCTGATCAGCAAGTGACATGTAATGATAAATAAATTAATGGAAGGTTTGGTGAAACTGTGTGTTTCTTTTTTGGGCTGTGCAGTTTCAATTAATCTTTTTCCTAATGGCGATTTACTTTCAGAATTTTCTATTTGTCTTTGGTATCCTACTTGATTAAGGGGAAATTATAGATCTTAAAGGTTCAAAATCAACTTTTCTATGACTCAGCACGAAAATGCGGGTGATTTGTTCTCTTTGGTCTTTATCGTGACAGGATAACTACTACCAAGCAAAAGGCTGATTTGACCCTTGCCGTATTGTTCAATGGATCTAGCTAGGACAAATGGAGAGCAAGAGATTACTTCTGAGCTAACCACTGCTTGATGTTAACCTTCTTCAAATCTCAACTTCTTAAAAGAGTTTGAACAGGTCCATGTTAAAGGCCTGCCTCCAGGCCCTTTTCCTTTGCAACAAATAAATAGACAACTACCATTTCTTGCATAGAGATTTGATGAATCCCAATCTGCATTACAGTCTTGATTCTTTCTTTGTGTTTGGAATTCATCAAGCTTCATACTTCTTGCATAATAAAGCAATGATAGATTAAAATTTGATGTATCTGTCATCCTGGGAAAGCTTCTGTCAAAGCAAATGAAGAGTAGAAGCAGGAGAATAGTGGCAGGAAAAAAACAAAAAAGATAAACCCTTTGAGCGATCACTACATGCCATTATCATAAGCAGGCATATCTGGTATTCGCCAAAAGAGAAATAGTGAAAAGAAATGCCCGTGCGTTTTGGACAACCTAGGAGTCTACTTTCCTGGGTTTACGTGTGAAATTTGATTAATTCAATCACTTTTTTCTTTTTGCTACAGAAATTAACACGAAAAGTTACATTTCAGAAATGATTAAGCCATCGGATAAAAAATCATTCAGTTAACTTTGGTGTTCCATAGGCCACCAATCACCTGCAGAAATTGCTCTTTGCCATTTTTGTTTAACATGGAAGTACGTTAGGCATCTTCCATCTCACAAGAAAAAAAAATATTAAAAGAAAAAAAAACAGAAAGAGTTAATTATCTATGGTTGTTTTGAATTGTAGATACGGGTTATATAATACGACAATATCAACAAAATACGATACAAATTGATATATTATATTTTCATTTTCTCAATTAAGTAAAATTTCATTATATATATTTTTTAAAATTTTTGGAATCCTTCCCACCTTTGTACAATCCATTTCATTCATACTCTATAGAAAAGGAAAATAGTAGTAATTTCTTAAGGCCCTTAGGTGCCAATCTTCTTGATGAAATTTTATTATCTTAGCAAGTCATAGTTTTTTTTTTAATGTTAATATATATCTTACCAATTAAGGGCTTGGTATAGTAAGCCTAGAAACAAAGTTGATATGGTAAAGAGTATTGAGTTTTATTTTTTTAACCAGCTTTTATCTTTTTATATGAACGGAGAAGATATAGACCTCTTTAGTTGATTATTCTTAATCATACTTATTTTTTTGATTATAATTTGGTTGCTATTGAGGTGGAGACTTAATGATCTCTCGATAAATTTTTTTTGAAAAAAAGCTAAACTCCACTTGCACTCTTTGTAATTTTCACTTCTCTCATATAATATTTTATATATTTTTTGATTAATTCTCTATGGATAAGTATATTTTCAGCAAGCTTACACTCTTAATTTCGTCCAATAAAATTAAAAAAAAATCTTTAATTTGTTTGAAAAGTATATTTTATTTATATATCATCATTTTATAATAAAAAAAATTTTAATTTAAAAATTAATTCATTGATTCACACTTAATAATTTTATAAAAAAATATTAATGATGCAACCTCTTTCGAAAATTGAACTTATCCGCATGGACTAATTGAAATCATAAAAGCTGCCGGTAAATATTCTAAAAACAATAAACTAATAATGGATCGAAAGGTATTGGGCTTATGCTATAAGCCCAAAAGGAATAAATGGGCCGGGACTCAGCCTAATCCAAAAAATAACAGGCTCACGCTCCCAGGAGTCCAAAGAATAATTTTCGTCTTCTCCGAGTAGAGTTTCCATGAAAAGAAAACCCTTTCAATTTTGAAAACTACTTCACTGTCTCTCTCTCTCTCTCTCTCTCTCTCCTCTCCGCTACGATCCTTTGGTAAAAAATTTTCGCTGTAAAAGGAAGTTTGGGTACAAAGTAATGGCGTTGACGAACTTCATATTGACAGTGGCAGGCGTTAGCGCGGTGGTTCTTTTACTGAGAAGCGACGTTAAACAGTCGGCTGCGATATTTAGGCGCAACGTTAAGCATATACGGAATTGGCTTGAAGAAGAATCTTCGGCTGCTTCCAAGTAAGCCTTTTTCTTTATCATCTGGGTTTTTCTTTTTTTTTTTTGCTGTTTTTATTGTTAACTTCCTTTTGTTTAGGGTTTTAATATGAACTATAGCTGCTAAAGTGATGTTGAATGTGATAAGATGAAAAAGAGAGATGATTTTCGATTAAATTTGGGTGGGTTTCTGAAATGATTGATTTTCCAGCTTTGCGATGGTCTAGAATGAAAGCCCAGAAGGAAATATGATTGATAAGCTCCCAAGTGAAGAAATTTGAAGGTTTCTTTAGTTTTTTTTTATAATGAATTAGAGTCTTGATGTTGAAAACTGGAGCCTCAGATATAATAAGTGAATGTCTGATAATGGGACTGTGTTCTTCTTTTCTTTTAAATTTGCAGAGGATTTAGTATTAGGAAATATTTAGAACCAGAATCATATCGCCAGATTGGCTAGGGGATTTTTGGAACTCATTTCTAACTTTTGGTTCCATTTTACTTGGATTTTTGTTCTCCTTCTGTTTTTTTTTTTTTTTTTAAATTAAGCTGCATTGCACAATTTATATCTGGTTGACAGAACTAAGTTGCATTGGAATTTAACTCTGCTTAATTTATAAAAATGTAATTGTGGTTTAATTTCTCTCAAAGGCCAGCAGTTTAGTTTTGTGCTTTGATCTTAAGCCTGTTGAACAGTTTGAAGTAATGCTATTGTATATGATAAATCACTCTTGTCATCAATTCAGTGTAAAATTAATGTTAAATAAATTGCACCACCTCATCCCAGTTCCTATTAGTTCTTTTTTCCTCCTCCTTTAACCAAGTCATATGTGATGGTTGTAAGAGTGTTTATTTGTGAACATGGATGGAAACATGTACAAACTAGATTTATTCGCTCAAAACTGAATAGGTTTTCATGATCACGCCTTATGTGGAAAGCAGGCAAAAGTAGCTACTGCAGGAAACATGTGTGTAACTGCATGGTCATAAGAACATTGCTCATCACTGTTAATTCTAGTTATAGGAGTAAGTTTCTCGAACATTGTGATTGTGATGCCGGTGAATCACTTCACCGGGAACCAACTTTTTATCTCAATTTTGCTTCCCACCCTTCAATTCTTGTACATATCTTCTGTATATGTTCCGAACATTGTTTCATATAGTTCTTATCTTGACAAAAGCTTATTTCTGACTTCGATGATCTTCTTTCAGAGCAGCTGAAAAGGTAAAGCCCAAGGAACTGGAGTCCAAGGTTCCTCCTAAGGAGAAGGACTAGTGTCTTAATGGGGAGTTTGGGGTTATTTGCTATAATTTGCGGTTATCAATTTTGGATGTTTGGGTTGTTATTTAGAATAAGTCTTGATTAGTGTCTTAGTGTTTCTGCACTGTAAAACACTTCTGAATTTTGTTGTCCCACCTTTTTCGGTTTGTTAATACACTGATGTATTTACTTATGAGTCAAATACTTTTGAGAAATGTCTACTTGAACCTGAGCATAAATTTAACTAAAGAGGTGGAAAAAGGAAGATATATTCAATTTGCAAATCGTTTAGCTTTTTGTTGCTGTTGTTTCTTCCATTATCTAAAGAACTGTTAAAAGTTTCCTACAAAAATTTGGGATGAAATTATTACACAGTCTGATCTAAATATTAGGGCTCAAAGAGGACATTGTTATCGCAATACAAAGATATCTCAAGGCGATGAAAGGGAAGGAATTGGTCAGATGTTGGGGGAGAGCCTGACCACGTTGGCATAGAACATTGCAGTTCAGGAGCAAGCGATTGGGCCAAGCTTGATGGATCGTGTTGCCACTGCAAGGTCTGGTTCCTCTCAGGGATCAGAGTTGAGCTAAAAGGCTGACCCATACCTCCGTGAGAGCTAGAGTTCTGTGCTATTGAATGGATGACATTTGAGTGCAGAGGCACAAGTGGTGACAGAAGAGAGAGAGCACAACAGGAATCGATGGATCGGATTATTCCATTGGCTTGCATCTTTTGCCTACCTCTGCCACCCTCTGATGAAGCAATGACATTGGCAAACCGTCGACCATCAGAAACCTCAGGGATTACTTGGTTGATCCTTTCATGGTCATTTGTCAACAGGACAGCGAACTCTCTGTTTTCTACACGTTTGATGCAAGCCAAGGGATTTGGAGGCCTCAGTCTACCAACAAGATACAATTGCTCATAACTATCATGAACCGTTGCAGGGGTTACATCGCAGAATTGCAAGATTGTGCTACCTAAATTTGATTCTGTAAATCATGTAGAGAAAAAAGGATACAAAGAACAGTGACTAAAAAGGTTATAGAAAAGTTTTCTCCATAAGAATCCAAGCCAAATTGATTGGACAGAAAACTACCAGGGCTGGTGAACAAAGATTCCGGCCGAGATTTTCTTCGGCGCCTGTTGTGCCCATCAAGACGTTTCCTGCAGCTCCTTTTCTCCTCATCAAACTCCCCAAGAGCATGAAACCTACCAAGTTGAATTAAGGGAAGTTAAGACAGCCGCCACAAAAATTTCAGACAGGTACCTCGAAGAGGTCTAAACGTACCTGCTACATTGCTGACAGAACCTTTGCTCTTCACCCCTAATGATGACAACGGGGTCCTTGGAGTGGTGCTCACAGACCCTATGGCGCCTGTAGTATTCCCTGTACTTTCCAAGATCAGATTTGCAGCCATCAACCGAGCATGATATTCTCGCATTTCCTTTAGCCATAGCAGGTCTCTTCATTGACCATGAAGGTGGTGACTCCAATTGCAAGCCCCTGGAGTTCTTAAACTTATTCAGTGACTTGACTCTCACATTTCTCAATCCACCATGCTTCGAGTCCACGGAGAGTCCTCCATTCTTCTGTCCCTTATCCTCCACCTGAGACAAACCCAAAGCGGAATCCTCAGAGTCTAAATCCATATCTCACCCTTTTTCTTTAAACTTCTACACTGTATTTGATTATCCTCCTAAACTGTTAACAGCAGAGCAAACTCCACAAATTGTATGCAATAAGGGCCCTCGCACATGTATCCAAGAAACACCAAGATTCTAATTAAATTCGTAAAAAACAAAAGGAAAAAGATGAAGGAATGAAACCAGGTGTCAGGAAATTGAAGTTACAATAATTGGTAGAGTTCACTGTTGTATTAAATTGTGAAAATATAACTTTGGAAAAAATTAAAAAGGAGCTATAAATGTCTGAGAAAAAAGAGGACCCATATTCATGACTCACTGAGAATTATCATTGGTTTCAATGCCTTGATTCTTAACTCTATTTTGTTGTTTTTATTTTGAGGTTCAATACTAACTTTAGAGTTTGTAAGAAAGTTAATGTGTCACGGGGCGATACTTAAGACCACCTTCCGTGCGGCTTTGGGCTCAACCCTTATCTCGGCACTTAGAACCCAAGTCAGCCTTAGTGCTTCAGCACTCGCCCAACAAGCACTCAACACCCACACAATGGCTTTAAGCCGGCAAGCAAGCTTGCATAAACGAGGAAGGAAAAATGAGAAGAGAATGCTAGAGAGAAAAACTAAGCTTGTATTGAATGAATTGAAATACAAGTGTGTTGGATGATTTACCCAAAAAGGATGAGGTTATTTATAGCCAAGGTTCCCCACCCATTTCCCTCCAAAATTTTCCCTCCAAAGGATTTCCCTCCAAAAGATTTCCTTCCAAAACCATTTGGGAGGGAAACTAAGGTTTCTAGAAGCTCATTTGGGAGGGAAATCCCTACATGGGTCTTGGTGGGCTGGCACCCTACATGGGTCTTGGTGGGCTGGCACCCTCTTGGGCCTTTTGGTGGGTCTGGACTGTGGCCCGTGACATGTGGCCCGTGACAAATGTACATTGTTATTTCAGGACGAATTTTATTATTGTAATCTTGCATCTTTGATAATAATTTTTTCTTCATAATGCTCGTAAAAAATAAAAATATTGATTCTTAAATTACGTTTTTGATTTTGAAAATCACCCGAATCACGTATATGATTAGAATTCTCTTTTTACAGTTCTTTTTTAACTTTGAATTTTGAATTATATTTTTGATGATTTAATTTTTAAATTAATTAATTTAATCATATTTCTGCTTAGATAAAGGTATAAATCATAACAATTATTTCGTTTTCTTTTTCTAATTTTCTGCATTGGTCCAAATTTCCCTTGTTTGACACTTGGAAGCCAGTAAAGTATTGTGGACTACATTGGTGCGGCATACAAATAAGCCAAGCAGAAGTTAGGCAGATTGAAAATAGATAGGGAGAGAAAGATAACAAGTGTATTCAACAAAGTGACAGATGTATTTCTTGCTTTCAACTTCATTGAATGAATTACTGGAAATAATTGAAGGATAAGTACAAAAAGATGAGGAGTGGAGTTCTAGGAATTGCACTAAGCAGCCAGGTAATCTCCTTGGATTCTTTCTTTTACGATTCAGAATCCAGGACAGGACTCCCTTTGCTTCCCATCCGTGATGAATTCTAGAAATGGGATTTAAACATTTGATAAATCAGTGTTGGGTTTGCAGATATATATATATATATATATATATATATATATTAGTTTAAAGTAATGTGCACATTCCTTTCATGTTGGAATCTTCACTCCCACACTTTCTAGCTATTTCAATTTCTTACTAGGGATTTTCCTTAGTGATGATGGTTTTTTAATGTAGAATTGATCCACACGGCCAAATGGATGCTTCCCCTTGCTTCAAACCCAATCTTTGCTAGTATTTGGCATGTTACAATAATTTCATTGTAAAAAAATTAAATTTTTTCAATTATTTTTTTAATAGGAAAAGTCTAAATTCTGTTAAAATATATTTCTTCGACAGAAACATAAAATTTTTTTGTCAAAAATTTCATTAAATGTTCTTAAGTCAATAATATCTTTTACTGAAAATAAAAAATTATGTCGACAACGATGAAATTTTTATAAAAGAAATGAAGAAAATTTTGTTGGAATAAATTTAATAATTCAGATATTATTAAATGTTGAAAAATTTATAAAATCCTATGGAGATTATATGTGGAATATTTTAAGTTGATAATTTGTTATAATTTCAACCCGATAGATTTTTTTTTTAATTAGAGGAAGGGAATTCAAACTTTACTATCTAAGTAGAGAATTATGAACAAACCAATGAATTAAATATTCGAGTGCAATTTCAATCCGATAGATTAATGTTCCATTTGTTTAATTTTTTTTATTCTAAATTCTCATGTGCTTGGAAAAGAAATCACTAGAAGCAAGGTTTATTGACAAATCCATCTCACTTTGACAAATCCATCTTACTTTAAGAATTTTAGCTTTTATGCTGAAGTATACCCTTACATCACATGTAATTTGATTTTTTTTTTCTATTTTGAGATAATAGTGATTTAAATTTATTCTTTAAATGGCAAACAACATGTATTTATCATTAAATTAATTGTTGAAATGCGATTGAGTTTTTTATTTATGTATCAAGTTTATAACAAAAGCCTACCCCATAAAGACCTAAACTTAAATTTGGTAATTAACAATTAAATTATACAATTAGTTCTTGTACTCTATAAAAAGATTGAATTTAGTCTCTGTATAATAATTTGTGTAAATTGAATACTTATACTTTATGAATTTGTTAATTATAATCCTTAACTCTAATACTGTTAAATTTAACTTTTAAGTACACTGACATGAAGTTGATTATATGTTGACATGGCATAATGCTATGTGTCCACATGAATTTAAAAAACTACCAAAAAGCACCCTAATCCTAAATTAAATGACATTTGCAAACAAGAAGGAAAAAAAATTAACATTCCACTAAAAACATATTAACAGAAGCACTTTCACATGAATCTGGCTTCTCACATGGGAACCACCCTATTTTTTTTTTCACTCAAGTGAAGAAAAAATAAAATTAAAAAGGAAAAAGTTTTGGATAAATAAAGAGGAAAAAAAGAAAAACAAGAAAAAAATTTATTATTCAAAAAACTATTTTATACTGGGTATTAAAGGTTTTCCTACAACAATACAAAAAGTTAGTTTTAGTTAGCATAAGAAAATAAAAGCCAACAATGAAAATAACCCAAAGAAAACTAAAGTGAAATACGTTTGCAATTAGTAAAAACTAACAAGCATAAGGAGAATTTACAAGAGAACTAATTATGCCCAATCAACCTTGCACCTTTTAGAACCCCAAAACATATTAACAAAACCTTACAAAATCTCCATTTCTTTTGTGTTATTTTGTCCACCAAAATCTCTCGACTTGTCCAAAACTCTTTGAAAATTATATTCACTAAGAATTAAGATTCCAAACAAGGCTAGAAATCATGACCATGCTTTTCTTAAATTTCAACTATTCAGTTTCAGAACTAGTTGTTTCTCTTTCTCTTGATTCTCCCTCTTGGATTATTAATTTTCTTTCTTTCTTTGTTGTAAATCTCATTTAATTTAAGGTTAGGGTGCTTTTATTATTTTTTTTTAAATTCATGTGAACACATTAGCATTATGCCATGTTAACGTTGTGTCATGTCAACATTTATCTCACATTAACACATTGCCAATGCCACGTCAGCATACTTAATAGTTAAATTTAACGATGTTAGAGTTAAGGATTGTAATTAACAAATTCACAAAGTATAAGGATCTAATTTACATAAATTATAGTACAGGGACTAAATCTATTTCTTTATAGAGTACAAAAACTAATTGCATAATTTAATCATAATTAATTAATAGAATTGAACATATATAAGATATGAGTATAAGCTATCCCATCGTTGGTTATATATCTGATAGGTGTAAAACATTGGTTACAATTTGCATCAATTTCTCTTCAAATTAGCAACATATTTATGTGTTGCACATGTCAAAAAGGCTGAAATCAACCCTAAGGCGATACCACTTAGGGGCTCATCGACAACTAGCATCGAGTCAACATAAATTAAGGGTTTCTAGACATTCGACACACTTACAAAGCCAAGCCGCACCCAAACAAGCTCTGTAGAGTGATACGAATCAGTAAGCCTGACATGCCAAAACCATGCATGAGTAGTAAAAGCACGAAAGGACTACATAATTGATTGCCATGCATGAGAAAAGAGTAGGCATGGGCCATGCAAACCAAGAGGCTACATGCCAAAAGAGTGTGTGGATATAGGTCGAACAATAGTGGGTTGTGCATACTACAAACCCACAATAAGGGGCTATGTGCAACATAGCCATGTATACTCGAAACATGCACATACAACACGCCTAGAATGCGTGTACATGGGCATTGCACGGGAGGAAAATGCACATGGGTTGTGCACACATAGGAGCCTTAAACCCGTGAATCATGCACATCTAGCTTGCACCTCGAGAAGCCATACGCACAATAGGTGCACCCCAGATAGCCTCACTCAAGAGTGCCACGCACACCTATGGCTCCACATTAGAAGGTCTCAACTGAGAGACCAACACACCTGAAAGCCCTCATATGAGAAAGACACCCCCTAGTGGCCAAATTCGTTACAGTGCAGTGCTTTCTTGTTGTTGCTTTAGTGCACAATTAGGAACTCCATTAGTTAGATGTCAACAATGTAATTTGTTTTTTTTTTTTTGCATGGTGATTTTGAAGAGAAATTCTACATGAAGATTCCTTAAGGCTTTGCTAAACAAGAGGAGCATTGAGTTGCAAACAGACTTCTTCATCCATGGATCAACAACATAAACTTGATCTTGATTTAGGATAACTTTGTGATGATTCTAGATAGTATAAGCATCTCATTGGTAGATGACTTTATCTCATGATAATGTGTCTAGATATTACTTACACATCCTCAGTTGATTTATGCACAATCCGAGATAACCACACTTTGATGCCTTTTTACGAATCCTTGGATATCTAAAAAATTTTATTAACTTGATCGATTTAATCTCAGTATGAATTGGTAGACATATTCACCAAGGCATTTGGTCCGAACCAGTTTCAAGTTTTGTTGGGTAAGTTGGGCATTTCCAATCTTCATGCTCCAACTTAAGAGGGAATAAAAGAGAATTAATTTAGCATATGGGCCACACGTAAGAGAACCATACATACAAGGCCTAAATAAACAAATGTGGACCAGTAGCTTGCATGCATAAGACAACTCACATGAAAGGTGTTCAATAGCTACTAAGAAGAGTAACAGTCAAGTAAAATATTTTAAGGTAATTGGAATACTTTCCATATTTAAGTTTTCTTTACTTGATTGTTTTTGCTCATATAACAAGTAAGCCTAGTTTTTAAGATATTTACTTTTATGTCATTTACTTTATTTGCATCTCAAAGAATAGTTTTTACGACATTTACTTTTATATTATTTACTTTACTTGTACTTTAGGAAGTTTAAGATTAAAATACTTATTTAATTTACTTTCATTATAAATAGGTTTAGGGTGAGCTATTTCTATAAATAATCCCTTTACGTTTTGTTATAAAACTAAGCAAGATTTTCCTTATTCTATTCCTTTGAGATATTTTATTTTTCACTAAACATCAACATCAATAACCAAATGACCCTCATATATTTATATCAGCAACAATTATGAAAGAATTTATAATCTTTTTTTTTTATTCATTTGAGAAAGAGAGATTGAACTAGTTTTTTGAATAGAGAATACATGCCTCAATTGTTAAATTAAATGTTTGAATGCAATTTAAGATCATTTCTTAAATATAGTGAAAGGACATATTTGAGACATCGGTCACTAGGTTTAAAATAACAATCTTTGTATGTGCACACTTAAATATTATAAAAGATATATGATCACATCCAAAATGACCACCCTTTGCAAACTATTGAGGCCATTTTCAATATATAGACCTAATTTAACTATATTTTCATTCACTTATCATCAGTTGTCGATTATTGTATGAAGTTATTTATCAAGAATTAAACAGAAATTCCCCCCATCTCAAAAATATTATTTTAATTTGATTTTTTTCTATCAAAAATTTTTCAATTTTGATCTTAGTTATTTAAATATTTGATTCAACAAACTTTTAGTATATACATATATTTGAAAACTTTTTTATTTAAATTTTTTAATAGTATTTGTTTCAAATTTTAATTAATGATGATTTATAAATAAATAATGGTTAAACTTGAAAAATTTTGACCGAAAAAAGTCAAATTCAAACACTAATTATAAGACGGATGGAGTAAAATTTATTCTTATTGAGATTCATATTGGAATGTAATATCCCACATTACTTATAAGTGAGATGTAAAGATAACATGATAAATATACATGAAAGATCCAAGAACTCATAAACTTAAGTTTATGGATTCAAGTGGTGTTTAACATGTATATATGAACTATTTGGAAGAACTATATGGGCTCAAGATTTGACTTATCTCTCCAACAATTCTCTTCTTCAGTGCACAATATATGGCTGAATTTTATTTTTCCATGCAGTGATTAGAATCAAGGTATGTTAGCATAGATCTAATACTTATACAGGAAACTTAAAAAATGTTGTAGCATAGAAATTAATGAACTCAGCAACAGATTTATTTGTAAACATTTGGGAAGTAATTAATTCTTCTGTAGATTGAAACCTACTCAAATTTGAGAATGGAAAAAGACAAATAAATTACATTTGCTGAAAAGAGAATGACTAACAACTCTTTAACATTTCAAATACACATTTGTCTAAATGTCCTACCATTTCCTCCAAAAATAAGGTTTTGAGCTTGAATTTACCTCCTCTTTTAATTTCCTAACTTAAGTATAAGAAAAGAAAAAACAAAAAACCAAAGAACAAATTAACATTCCTAAAGTCACAACTTTTATTTCATAAGGAAAGGAGTAAATCCAGGACAGAGGCATACAACATTTGTTTCATCTAGCTATATATGCATGATGATGGAATTCTTTCAAAAGGGTGTGTAGATTTGCATCTGACTCAAGATATGTTCAAAATTGTCTGATGGCTTCTCTATGGGATGAGTGTGCATCCCTTCGTAGGTGGTCACCACAACACTTTCATCTTTGGTTAGACGTTGAACTTGCTTCTTTACATTGCATCCTTGATGTGTGCATCGGTAATAGCTCCTGAATATGGAAACTCATAGTGTTATTCACTAGCTCAAACTATGCATTGATTCAAAAATCAGACTTGGAACAGAAAATATAGTTTCAGGAACAGGCTATATGAATAGGGGCTGATGATGCGAAGTTTACAAGTGTTTGTAGCTCAATTATTCATTCCTTTTTCTTTTAATTAACCAAAAATAGGAGAATTAAGCTAGGAACAAGTTAAAAAAAAAAAACAGACGCTGATTAGAAAATGATGCTTTCCATGGTATGAAATCATCAAGAGATGCTGATTCATGAGGTCTTGTAAGAGGCTATATTTGTAAGATAGATCAAATTTGTATACTTTTGAGCTCAAAAAATGTGTTTCCATTCTCATGATTAATGAACTTTTAACTAATGAGGTCTTGATACAATGAATTATAAAGGACAGGTCGAGACCCTCAGAGAAATTCTAAGCTGGAATCGTCTGGCCTCTTGTCTATTGGAACTAAGGGGTTTTTTTTTTTTTAAACAAAGAGAATTAATCTTCATTTGAATGAATGAATTAGAAACAAGTTTTTATCAAAATCCAAATGAGTAAATGACCATGTCATCAAACACCGCTACTTGACTTTGTTAGTAGTAATCCGTTTAGTGTCAAATATTCAGCTGTAAGCATCTTACTAATTAAATACCTACTTGATGAATTTCACTTGGCAAGAGATGAACCGTTAATAGATTTAATTCCGTTTAAAGAAGAATTAGAAAAGAATTACATACTTCAGAAAAGATGCTGATCTTCAAGAATCTGTTTTACGATCAACTGGAACGTTGACAAGACTCTTTGTATTGGAACTAAGGGGATATGGTGATCAATCGGTGAAGGAATATCACCAATCCCTATTTCCTATTGCATTTGCTGAGGTTGCATGCACGTCTGCCTAGCTACACTTGCCGGTTGTCTCAGCTTATTCATTGTTTTACTTTTGGTTAATATGTACCTTTTTAATGCTCTGAATGATCCTAAAGACACATTTGACTATTAATGAAAAGCAATGCTGTGTTCATGGAGGCTCTAGAGTTTGGACTAACCTTCCCCCACGATTATTCCCATTCAACCACAGAATTTTTGGAGTATTAACTTTAAACTAGTGCATAAGATGTCTGATATTTCATGGCCATATATGAATTCTTCTGATCTGCTAAGGAGAATTATTGTGAGATGTATAGAGGAAAAAAAAACCCTAGTCAAAAGAATTGTAGAAAATTTTGATTCATGGAATATTTTATCTTTGGTAACCATGCAAGGGGTAGTGTGCATGCATATTGGAAATGGTTTGACATCCACAAACTCAAGTCTGAAAGGAACAAATGGCACCAATTCTTATCTTCTCAGCTGGGTAAAATTAAGTGGGATATATCTATCATACTTTTAGAGTGAAAGGAAAATGATATGGACGATAATGGTGGGGCATGCATGATTGAAAAGATAGTGAAGATTATGACCCTGGGAATTAGGGGGAAATGCAATGGTAGAAAAGAAAGAAAAAGTTTTAGGAGTCAAAATTACAAACCTAGGAAATTTGTTGTTCTTAACAGCTTTTTGGCCGTATTTCCTCCATCGATATCCATCATCAAGTATATCCACCTGACTCCTTGTTTGAAAAGCATATCTGGGCTTCCTAATCTTCTTTTCCTTCTTTTTACCTGATTTTACCTCGGTTTCAGAACCAACAAAACTCCCATTCTGAACAATTTCTTTAACTTCTGGTTTCTGGATGAAGCTCTCTGTCTTCAAACCCAAGAACCCATTCGAGCTGTTGCCATGAAAATTGTTAAAAACTTGTGAACTAGGTGCCATGTTTGTTGGAAAAGGGTAAGCTGATGCTGCTGACGAGGAGATAGGAAAGAACATTTGATAGTTCTCCATGTGGATTCAAAGCCAGTGCTTATAAAGAAGAAGAAGAAGAAGGATGAAAGAAAGTCTACTGCAAAAGATGAAGCGGCTTGTTGGCCAAAAAGCTACACAAATTCATTCAACTGAGATGTATGCAGAGCAAAAGCAGCAGAGAAATACAAACCCATATTTATAGTGTTAAAGGTGTCGTAGACGGCACGAAAATTTTTCCAATGTATGGAAAATTAGCTTCATCAGCGGATTTGATCAGGAAAAAAGTAAGGTGGAAAATTTGGGGCGGCTTCATCATTAGGACAAAGACATTTCATTTTCACAAAATAAATAAAAGAATATTACTATATAAATATAAATATATATATATATATATTTCTTTGCCAAGGAAAATTGTTTCTCATTGTTGGATATTGTAGACTAACAGCAGTCTCCTTTGGACTGATCTCCTATTCACACGTGTTTCAAAAGAATTTTCTTTATTACATATTCAGTACATTCTATTTTTTCTTCTCTCATTTTATATTCATGTTTTTTGTGTGGTGGGTGCCATGTTGTTTTAGTGCATTTGTGACTGCGCCTCCTCCACGGTTTCCATGAAGCATCATCAAATTAATACCAATAGCTACATCTCCTACAGTTAAGTTGCAGTACCATGTGCTTATTAATGCATGGATGGTTTCTCTAGCTATTATCAATTGATATTTAGTTGAGTGTTTATATATTTTAAAACTTAATTAACATAATATTAGAGTAGGTGTTGTCTCCATTATCTGCGAGCCCTCTTCGACAATTCATTCTATGTAATAAGTTTGTGTTTTTTTTTATGTAAATCAAATATTAGATTGGTAAAAAAAGACATCTCACATCAATTAAGTTTGAGCTACTTTGCGTATACAAATATAATAGACTTCTTTATCTATTATTAATTGATTTAAGATTGAATATTCATCTTGAAATTTTAACATAGCTTATTATTTAAATATAAATAATACACTATATGTATTTTTTTTATAATTTATTAAATTAAGTATTTTAACTTTAATTAATACTTTTATTAAATTGAAATATTAACTAATTTTTATTTATCTTCTTATTGACATTAAAATCCTTACTAAAATATACGGTAAAACCTTTATAAATTAATACGCTTGGGACCATAAAAATTTATTAATTAATTGAGACATTATTTAATTGATAAATTAATAATTTATTAATTTATATATTAATTAACAAAAAATTAATTTATGAAGATATTTTTTATTTTTTTCTAAAATATTGAATTTAATACATGTATTATGTATCTGTGATTATACAAATATTACCTAATTATTGAATTACGAATTATCATTATTTTATGTATTTGTTTAACTAAAACAAGTTCATGATTATAATTAGTCTTATTAAATAGAAGTCCTGTATCTATCCATTTTTGAAACAAACTAAAATTACATTCGATGTATACTTAATTAATATACTTCATGAAAATTAAGTCAAATAAAAACATCTATAAAAAGAACATGTAGTGTTACAAACGGTAAAACTAAACACAATAGCTTCTCATCTCAAAAGTGTAAAGAAATCAATAATGACGAATGAAAAGATAATACATTACGAAAAGTTAGAAATGAGGTCTAAGGAGATATCAATTTCCAGAAAAACAAATAATATTGAAGTCATATTTTACAAAGATCTCTTAATTGAGTCCTGTATATACATAAATTTAATGTATAAAAAGATTATTAATTTATATTTTTTTGAATAGCATAATTTTTTTAAAAAGGAAGAGGAGAGTCTCAACAAAAAAGGAGAAACTCCAAGCCTTAATCAAAGGTACATCAGACTGCAAGGCATTCCTAGAGCACAAAAAACACAAAACAAACACAATCAAGAACAAAATAAAACCATATACAAATGAGGAGAATAGCACTAGAAGAAAAACCAGAAAACATAACAATTAACAAAAAACTTGAATGTGATCAGAAGTATGATTAACCGCAACCTTGGATAGGCAATCCACGAGGTAGTTTGCTTCATGGGGAATATGGATAACAAACCAATTTTTAATATTTTCATCAAGAAATTAATCTGTTTAAGAATGCACTTGAATCGCCAAGAAGAAGAAAATGGACAATTGATCTATTTGATAGCATTGTTAGAGTTCGATTCAATAGTGAGATCGTGAGAAGAATTCTAGTGAGATGCTGCAAATATAGTTAATAAGACTACTTAGAATGACCTTTGCCATATTAGAATCACTAATACCTAGCAATTTAGAAAATAGGATTTTGACATTACCTTCATGATCCTAAAGAGCTCGTCCAATTTCAGAAAGACCCAGGCTCATGAGTAGCACCATCAACAATGAATTTCAATGAACCAATCACTGACTTCAACTAGTTGCACTTCATTTTTATCTTCTTAACCATCTGGGAGGCTTTAGTGAAATTCAGCTTTCAAATTATGTCAATCACTGAAGAATTAAACTTAGGCCATTTGACTTTAACCTACGAGCAAATCCTCAGCTTAATAATGTTGAAAATATGACTTGAGTCCCAAGGCTCTCTATTGAAAACCAAATTGCTCCCATGAATCCAAATCGTCTAGAGAATCGTAAAAGATGACAATTTCCAAACTAGAAAATGATCTTTGCCACTGATAGCCTCATTCCAAGTAGCAAAAAGATCCCTCAAATTTTTAAGAGAAGTCCAAGAAAATCCCCAAGAATTAACCTATAGCATCTAGGCACACCAAACATCATAACAATCAAAGAAAAGATGTTCAACAATTTTAATATTGACATTACAAATAGGGCAAAGAGCAGTATTCCTATCAATAAGACCATTTCTAAGAAGTTCTTCTTTAACTGCAATCCTACCTTTCATTAATTGTCAATAGAAAATTTCACATTTAAGAGGAGCAAGTTAACCCAGATAGAATTCCAAAAGAGTTTATCGCCATTAAGATCAAATGCAGATTTATAAAAACTACAGAAGGAATAGAGACCACAAGAGCTGTTTTTCCAAATGACTCTATCAAGTTCATCTTTATCAAGTAAGACATCATCCAGAACTCTCATCAAATTAAACCACTGATCCCTTTCCCAGTCAAAAAGGTTGCATCTTAATTGAATTTTCCATATTCGTAAATCATCTCTCCATTCACCATAGTCAGTCAAAACACCATCTTTGATAGAAGAAAAAGCATAAAGATCCTAAGGAAGGATGATTTAAGAAGACAACCCTCAACCTATTCATCATGTCAAAATTTAATTTTATCACCTTTGCCAAGCTAAAACCCCATACTAATAGAAAGCAGATGAGATAAGTCATCACTAGGGCAGAGAGGCTCAGTGATGTTTTTCGAAAAGTTGGAAGCCACAAAGAATATGTTTGGTGCAAATAAGATTGTCAAGATCCGATTTACAAAAGAAAATCATATCATCAGTGAATTGAAGGTGAGAAACAATTAAGCCATTATTTCCCACTTCAATTTCTTGAAAAAAATCCCTTGGAGATTGCATTGTTAACCATAGAACTCAAAATTGAATAGAAACGGTAAAAGAGGACAACCTTGGTGAAGACCCGTATTCTTCTTGAATTTCCTGGTGGGAGTACCATTGATCATAATAGAAACAGTAGCTATAGAAATGTAGGAGAAAATCCACTTGCGCCATTTGTTACCAAAACAAATCTTATCAAGCATGAAGTTAAGAAACTCCCTGTCAATATTGTCGAAGGCTTTTTCAAAGTCAAGCTTAAAGACCATTCCCTCTTGATCATTTTGTAATAAGGCCAATAACCTTGTTAGCTAGAAGAACACAATCCAAGATCTGTTTGCCTTTGGTCAAGGCAAATTGGATTTGACAAATAATTTCTTATATCACTTGCCGAAGCTTGTTAGATAGAACTTTAACCATTAATTTATACAAATTACCCATAAGACTAATAGGGTGATAATCATAAAGATTTCTAGGATTAAAAAGCCTTGAAATCAAGGAGATAAAAGAAAACTTAATTCTTTTATTCAAAGAACCAAAGTTATAGAACTTGGAGAAAAGATTCATAATCTCAAAGTTGATTTTGTCCCATATATTCTTGAAAAAGGAGAAATTAAAGCTGTCCAATCCAGGCAATTTATTTCCATCACTGCTAGCAATAGCATTCTATACTTCATTCTTAGAGAAGGGACGTTCCAACCAAGAAGCAAACTCCGGCTCCAAAAAGTTTAAATGACAGTCAAATTCAACCACCTTGAAGATAGATTTTTTCCTAAAGTGGGCTTCAAAATAAGAAATAATAGAGTTCAAAACAGATTTACGATCAAAATAGGAAATACCATCCACAATAGCATTCTTAATCCTATTAAGCCTCCTCGTATTAGAAGCTATGTCATGAAAAATGTTGATGTTATGGTCACCCTTAAGAAACCATTTGATAAGTGACTTTTGTTGCCATGATCTTTCCTCAGCTTGATATAAATTCCAAAGCTAGGCTTTGAGAGAAATAAAAGAATTCCTCATAGAACTTTTAAGAGGATCATTATGAAGGGTGGAGAGCTTATCTTCAATATCCTTTTCACAAGTCACTATTTTATCATTCAAATTCCCAAACTCAAAATGCTGCCACTATTTAATTTTAGACTTGATCATCTTAAATTTATCTAAACACCGGTTAACAAAAGATATTATCCTCCTCACCGTTCTCCATTTGTCAACCATATTTAAACCTTTTACATTCCAAGAAAATAAAATCACTGAAAAATCAAAATCACAAAGAACAAAACCACAATGCGATTACACTTCTTGGCAAACTTCAATGTCAATCAATGCATTTATAATATGAGGATTAGGGTTTTGAAAAAAAATCACCAATATTGTTAAAAAGATTTAAAGAACCGACAACCTCCTTCTTAAGAATAGAATTATTGTGATAGATGTCAACATCAATGATAAAATTATCAAAGGGAGTTGGGCAGGAGATGTACTATTTCTCAAAGCAGTGATGATGTGCCTTCTAACATTTTTCCCTCTTCTGCTCATAAAACCTCTTTTCTTTTTTCTCTTTTCTCTTATTAATAACAAATCTTAATGCAAAGTTGTTAGTTTTTTTCTTACCATGACTAGAAGAAAAATGAAAAAGAAGACTACCATCACAACCATTGCTGACTTCAATAAGG